TACGCGCGCCAACGTCCCCATCCACCGACGTGACGATGCTTCAAAACGGGAAATCCATCCGAGCCCATGCCACCGAGGTCAATTCGGTGTGCTTTAGCGGCAGTGGCAAGGTGGCGTTCACGGCCAGCAGTGACGGCACCGTACGAGCGTGGGACTCGTACTCGTGCCAGGCCAAAGCAGACTATCGTGGGCTCGGGATGTCGCAGCCGCTCATTTGCGTGCGCGTCTCGGAAGACGGCGAACTTGTGCTCGGTGAGAAGAACTAGCAAACTTCACGTATCGGCAGTGTGTTCGAGGAGATGTCCAAAAAATGACGTCGACCGAACGTAGGGACGGGGTGCGATCGCATATGCCAAGTGTGGCGAGTGGGGACGGGCCGCATTGCCCACACACTGCTGGGACACAAGGTATGGCTAGCGAGAAATGCGGAAGGCGACATCGATGGCCTGTGTGCTCGACGTGGGGGTGTTGTTGGTGTGCGTCGCTGCGATGGCCGTGTGGCGACCAGGTGGAAGCAGTCCGCGTCGCCGATGGAGTCGTGGGGTGCCCTTCCAGTGTAGTATGGCTGGTTGATTCGATGACTTGCTGTCTCGATTATCGAGACGTGGCGCTCCACGGAGCATTCAAAGCCAGTGGAAACTGACCGCTTGTGGGTGGTAGGGAAAAGTGTATGCGGCCGAGTTTATGCTGGATGGGTCGACCGAAGTCCTCACGGGTGGCGCCGACCGCAGCATCCGCGTTTGGGATGTATCGAATGGCCGCAACCTCCAAACATTCAGCTGTCGGTGCGTGCGACCGAGATCTCCTCGCACGATTTGAAATCATGGGCAGGTCGACGTGCAACGACTTGGCTGTTGCACCTGGCGGGCTCGTTGCGAGCGCGCATCAAGATGGAGCTGCACGGTACGTCCTCGCCAAAAAACATGGACGACGGGCCATGTGCATGTGCCGCACAGGTTTTGGGATGCCCGCACCAAGGCGCCAGTATTTGAATGGACCGACTTGCATGCGGACCAAGTCACGTCGGTGTCATTTTCCAAGGTAATGGACTGGTGCGTGGCGAGATGTGTGCGCGGACTGCTTGGAGCGATGCATATACGAGTGTTGTCCACTTGAGAGGCGGTCGTGTGTGTGTGTGATTTGGCTTTGAATCGCGCTGGAAGGAACCCACGAGTTGTGCCCTCAACGGCATGTGTGGTCTGGTTGGATGGAGGGAGACGCGCAAGTGTGTGTAGGGCGAGTCGATTCGCCTGCCCCCCCCTGTCTCTGTACATGTGTGTTTTTTAGGATGGCACCAAGCTCCTGACCAACTCGCGAGACAACTCGCTTCAGCTGCTCGACATGCGCATGATGCAAGTCACCCCTGGGACGTTCCAACAGAACGTGGCCTTGGGACTGTACAAGTCGCCATCGTACGCGTGTGGGTTCAACTGGAGCAAGGCATCGCTGACGCCGGACGGGCAGTTTATTGCAGCAGGAAGCACGTCAGGGTAAGGCTGTGGAATGTGTTGCCGTGAGTTTGACGCGAGTTGCCGGCAGGTCGGTCCTGATCTGGGACGCTGTAACGACGGCCGTGTGGCGAGAAAACAAAGACACCCACACAGGGGCCGTCGTCGGGTGCATGTGGAGCCCCAGCGGCAACATGCTCGCATCCTGCGACAAGAATGGGTGCTTGGTCTTGTGGAAGTAAACGATATCGATCACACGATTCTTGTCCATGCACTGGTTGGACCGACGTCGACGACATCGCGCAGACATGTTGAGGGCCACGCAGTACTTTTACAACGGGGACGGACCTCAAATCGATGGCGCATCCCTAGCCATGGCACGGCATGGGCAGGGTTGGCATCGACGGCAGCGGTAGCCATGCGTGGCTTGGAATCGCTGCCACGTCATATCGCCGCACGCGCCAGGATCGCGTCCTTGTAGCCGCCGTACACTGCCAAGTGGGCAATGTGCGCCCCCGGGGGCACGACAGGTGTAGTCACGAGATGGCCACAATAAAGCACTCGACTTGTGCATGACATGCTGCCCACCAATCTATCGGAAGGACAAGAGGAAGGGGCTGGCTCGGGTTGCGCAACCGGCTTGTCCAAGAGCGCGGTCGCCGACCTCCAACGTCGTGATCCGTTTGGTTCGGCATCGCAAATCATGCCGATCCCAACACACGGCATTTGTTTGTGTGTTGGTGAATGCCTTCGTTGTGGAAGCCACAAGGTGGTGGTGTCGATTCATCGTTTCCGTGAATGGATGCGTGCAGGTTACAATCAAGAGATGTTACGTGGCGCGGTGACTGGCCCAGTTGTCGTGGGAAACGAGTGAGACGTCATCGAGACCGGCGCACACTTGGATGAGGTAGCGAGCGAGGTACGCGAGCTCTTGGTCGTCGGCGGCGTGCGCCTACCATACCGGCCACATCAGGCCCCAACGCAGGTCGTCGTCCCAACGAAAACTCCTCCACCCGGTAGGTACGTCGATTCGAGACGAGCTGGCCACGGATCGTCGTCGTCCTACCTGCATGCAGTCGTACGGTGAAATGACGATCCCGTTGCGGGGATTGAGGGCAAAATTATGGACCAAGTCGTCGATGTGGAGCGTGTTCTTGGCGTGCCAGAGCTGAAAAACACGACCAGTGGATACCAGCGCGATCGACAATGGTCGCGTCAGGACGTACGTTGGGAAATGCCCGCCAGATGATCGGCAGCGCCTTGACTTTGGTCGGCTTTGTCTTGAACCGGTCGGACGTCGGCATGGCGAACATGCGGGTTTTGTCCAAGATAAAGTTGATGCAGTAGTCTACTCGACACACTTGGCATGACTGCAAAGCGCCAACGACGTGTGTTGAAGAACTCGAGACAAGAAACCGATGCGACAGAGCGAGGCATCTCGCTTGCCATCGAGACCAAGGCGACATCCACCAACAAACAACGACGTCGCTTTGCGACGAAGCGGCAACTCGGCGTCGAGACTGTCCATGCCTTCAGCGAGACGCTAAAGTGCGCGTACCTGGCGACGTGAGCATGCCAAGCTCTGTCAGCTTGATCTCGATCCATGTCCATGATGTTTGCGACCAGATCCCGATGTCGTAGTGCTGATAGACCAACGTGAGGAACTCGTGGAGGTACGGGCGTCGAAATCGAGTCATGGGGATGCCGTTTGTTGTCTTTGTTGCGCTAGACGCATGCCACAAAGGATGATCTCCATGAAGCGGTTGGTTGCCGTGGCGACGACCGACCTTATATCCATGAGGGTGTGGTCCAGATCGAGCACCAACAGCTTCTTTCCAGGACGAAACGGATGGATCAATTCAATCTGTGCGGCGAACTGGTCCACGAGATCGTTGATAGCTTTTGCCTGCACGTGAGCGACATGAACGTCATGTTTCCCACGCCGACGTACCTTGTACCATTCTGCTGACCCTGGTGAGAACGCACATCCAAAGTCGGCAAATACTGACGGCAGGGTTTCCTTCGGCACACTGGACGGGTCGACAAAGATGTCATCTTCGACCGTCCCAATCAACATAAACTTGTGAACGGGAGTCTTGAGCACCAACTCGCGCAACGGAACGTGATCTTCCGCTATGGGAGCGGGACTGTTCAACAACGATCTCGATGTCAACCGTTCGACAAGCCACCTGGTTTGCCTTTGTGGTTGATGCCAACTAGCTTTTGTCGATGGGGCAACACGCGTGTACGTGCATGGATCTCCTTCTTGAGCTCCAGGACAGTCGCATCGCGGGAAAGCGTCACTTCCACGTCGACCTTCTTCCACTTCCCGACGAACGTCAACATGTCTGAACAATCTTGCTGGGTCACGCCCCGGGCATCCGGTTAAAGGAACTTAACCGGATTGTTGCGGCAAATGTCGGCGCTGCGCCGCGATGGACGACGCACACCAGAGAGATGATACAGAGGGCGGTCAGGCAAGTGCACCATGCCATGCCTCATTCAAGATTGCACAGATGCGCTCGGAGCGTGGAGCTCGTTGTGGTACTACAGTCTGGTCGAAATTCGACGAGACGGGATGGGACAGGAATCAACAGGGCAACGTTTCCATGCCTTGCACGGAGAAGTGTCGTCCGACTCGCTGGCACGACCTACCGAGGCACGTCGGACGAGGTCTGGATCGGTGTCGCGGCGACAAAAACACCGACCTTGTCCAGCTACACGACCGACGAATGCATCCTTCGAGAGCAACCGAGAGTGCGTCGTCCAATCGAATCGATTGAGTTCGGTCAAGATGCCGACCGCTACATTGTGCATCTCGACGACATGAGTCGTGGACTCCTCATAGCCAACATCATGTGAAAAGTCTCACAAATCATGCGAAGGTGGCTAGGCAAAGTAGTGGTCGGTGTGGTCCGGGTGGACAACAGTGTAGCGTCGACTTGCAATCACTTTGCACGTCGCGTCCATGGGTTTCATTCCACGGGTGATGGCCAAGTCCGCCTGGTCAAAGGCATGTCAGAAATGGAATTTCACGCGCATCCGATGCCCCAAAGCGGCAACCCGCGCATGGACAACGTCACTCGGACATGCCACGAACCTGGGACCAATTGTTTCGGAGGTCGGGGAGGGAGCAGACGTGGCCGACCTTGGGCTGACCGCATCGACCACACTTGTACGATTTACGATTCGATTCGTGCGCGGCGTCGTCGCTGCCCTTTGCGGACGATGAAGACTCGGCATGCAAGGCCAGTGCGATGTGGCTCATGTCCACGGAGAGGCCGGTGGCGACATGGCGCTTCTTGGACCTCCGCCGAATGGAAGGGCGTGCAGGAAATTCATCGATCGAGCTTGAATCCTTGGCTTTGGACAGCACCGGGGCAGTTGGGGAAGAACGCAATGGCTGGTCGCGTGCGTCTGGTTGTTGGTCTGGCGGAGAGTGCAGTTGCTGCTGCAGTTGTCGCAATTGCTGCGCGTGGTAGAAAAGGCCGTCCGGATTGCTTTGGTGCCGCTCATGTCGGCACTTTCGCTTGAGGTCCAACACGGTCTCGTGCAGTTGATGCGCGTGAAACAACTGGGACGGGTGCGGCACCGTCCACGGTCTGTTGCGCATGGAACCTTGCAAGAAACCAGTTAGGATACCGTCCATTTACTTTCGGTGGAACGAACCACAGATTGGCATGCTGGGAGTCGACGACGTCGGCGGAACAACGGTGGCCGATGGGACGAGTTCTGGGCCATGCAAAAAGTCCTGCAGAATGTCGTCGAGGTCAATATCTTGAATGAAACTCAGTCCCCGTGACGATGGCGGGGGATTTGTAGTCGTGCTGCTGGGAGTCGCATGGCACGGGACAGCCTCGGACTACGTACGACGACGAAAGGTCACACGTCCAATTCACACATCCGAGTGGCGGGTACCATGAATGGGATTGACTGCGTGGCTGGTGAGTAGTGCATGGGAGTGTGCTCGATTGGCGCTGCAAGACACCAGTCGCCAACTGCAAACGATGCGAACGAAAATTGCCCCAGCACGTCTGGGCTCGATTTGTGTCGTTTGTGTCGTCCTCCGCCTGGGGGCGCCGGCGCCGGTGGGGTGATGTGCGCCATTCCTTGTGGCGGCACCAGCGTGTCTGCAAAGTTGAAGTCCATGTTCAGGCCTTCAAACAAATTGTCTCCCATGCTTGTCCTCGCCGTACTCTCTCGGTAGGAGCGCAAGAATCCGTCCCACGTTTCAGTCGCCGCCTTGCGCTCACAATGCCAAATGCCACCGCCGTATCCGGAAATCCCGAGTATTCGGATACTCGTGATGGCCGCAAGATCCAAAGGATGCTGCACAGCGTCATCGTGACAACGGACAAGGCGAACGTGCTCCTGGCGCGCTATTTCCAGCCGCTCACGACCGAGTCCAAAAGGAGCTTTGAGCATGCTCTCTTCAAGGCGACCCGGTGGTCCGAATTGACGTCGGCGTCGACGCAAGACGGCAGCGAAGCGGTGGACGTCCACCTCGTCGTGTGCGACGGCCAGTTTGTCGTGCACCGCAAGTTTGGCGACCTCGTCTGGTTTCTTGCAGGAAGCGGTGAATACGATGAGCTCATATGTACGTGCCACCCGCCTCGCCCTTTGCCCAAGTTCATCCCATGTGTAGGCCACGACATCCTGACCACCCTACTCGCGGTGGCGGCGGTCCATCTCGAGAAAAAGTGTACCGAAGCGTCGTTCCTCGCCAACCATTCCAAGATTCTCGTGTCGTTGGACGAGATGGTGTTTCAGGTATACCACCATAGCCCCCTGGCCAGAGTGAAATTCGTTCTAACGGCACTCATCCAGGGCCACCTCGACAACAACGACGTTCAGAGCATCTTGCACATGTCCAAGTTGAAGCCGTACCCAGTAAAAGCATGAAAGCGTGACATGACCCGTCTACATCTCATTCCAAGCATCAGGACGGTCGTATCTGGGACAGTTCTGCGGCGACGAGCCTCGTCCACACCGACGCATTCGGTTTAGTTCTCCCCACACTGTATCATGGGAAGCATGCCGTCGTGTGGAAGGGATTCCGGTGCTCTCATGACTGCCATTGCAGATCAGTTGACGCAATGCTCTAGCTTGAGGCGACCCACCGTCGGTTGTATTCCACCATGCGAGCTCGTCCTATAGTGTGCGCTTTGACATCGACATCCGAGCAATGGCGACATTCATGGCTATGGCAGCGTTTCGGCTCGTGGCAACGAAAGGTGATGCGAGTGGTGGTGTCGCTCGGCGTGGGCCTTGTTGGCGTGAGTGCCTGCGACACTCGGCCTGGAACTTTGGCAGCGCTCCATTGCTGGCACCGTCGTCTGCCACGTTCTCCTCCCCAAACACCGACGACAACTGGATCGAAAAGTGTCTCTGGCAGGCAGAGATCGACACTGCCACCTGTGATTGGTGCACCGAAATGGGTTTCTTTCTTCTGATTGGGTAAAAGAGTTGCATATGGCCAATCCCATCAAATAACGTGGCAGGCAAGCCACGCGGTCAAGGTGCGTTTTATTGGCAGCGTACTTTTTTTGGGTCGTCCTCGCGACATACGAAACTCGAGTCATAAAATACGCTGAAGTGTACAGAGCCATGACGCCAATTTCGATTTCCCACTGCGTCGCTGGTGCCGCCGCCGACCACATCTATCGTCATGGCGACAAACCAGCAATCGTTCTCGGACTTCCTTCTCAGCAGCAGTGACTTGGATGACCTGAACAATGAGTGCCTGGACCAGCTCACGGCTGACGTCGTCAATCGTAGCAAAACCAGCGCCGCTGCCGCGAAAGCCGCTGGCTTGAAGCGCAAACCCAGCGCGTCGTTTCAGACCCAGCGGTCGCAAGTGTACGAGTACCTGCCTGGAGATGACAATCCTGCCGCAACGACTTCAGCCGACTTCTTCGCCGACTACAAGGACGGCGACATCACCACGTTTGTCACGTCCAACGGGGAGCAGCACATTGTGGGTCTCGGCTTAGACCTCGACAGCCTCAATCCACCATCTCCGTCATTTGCATCGACGGTGGTCCCTGACCCGATTCCATACAAGCAAGAACCACAGCTTCAGCCTTCGACGACTCTGTTGCAGACTGCTGGTCCCATGAGTCGCATTGAACCGATCCCAGACCTTATCCACCTGGCGATCCCACCGTCCACCGCGCCAACCACATCGTCGGAAACGTCGCATCGAGGGCGTCTCGGTCACGCCCACCGCAATTCTGTGGAACTCACTGGTCTGGCCCATCAGTTTGGCAGTTCGTTGCACACTACCACATCCCCAGTCCACCAACGCGCGCCGCACATGATGATGCCATCATCCTACGCCCCGTCCTCTCCCGTGAATCAGCTCCACATGGGGTTCCCGCCGTCTCCAGTGCACCACATGCAGGCGAGCATGATGCCACCGTCGTCCCCCGCCCGCTCTCCCAGCTCGGCGAACTCAGCGATGCTCATGCCAATGCCATTGCCCATCTCGGTGGTACGTCGAATGGGTTGACCATCATGTCACATGTTGCCATTTTTGACCGATTCAAACGGCAACCGGTCGCTGTCGGCCTTGTGTGCGCGCGATGCGGCTCGAGGCATAACGCTCCTCTTGTAGTATTCCACGGCGCCGATGCCATTGTACGGGTTCGATCATCCGGCCATGATGATGCCGCACAGCCCCGCGTTGAGCATGTCGGACCAATTTGGACAGTTTAACATGCACAGTCTGTCGCAGCCGAGCTCGCCGAGCAGTCAGAGTCCCCACACCACGTCCACCGACAAGCACGCCGAGGCTGGGCGGGAGAAGCGAGTACGCGTCGTGCGATGGCCATCCCGTTGTCACGATCTACTGACGTAGGAGTACAAGTGCAGGCAGTGCGGTCAGCCCAAGAGCGGCCACACGTGCACATCGATCAAGAGCATGATGGACAGCGCCGTGCAGCACGAATCAACGCCATCCAACATGACAGACTGGCGAATACTGACCGTCAAGTCCAAGTGGGTCGTAGTGTAGCGTACGTGGGCTTTGAGTACACCACCCCTCTCTCGCAACACGGCATGACTCGAGTTCCGTCCATTATTCGTGCGCGTCGTTTGTCGCGGTAGGCGGGAGCTGGCCGAGGTCGCGCCCCCGTGGATAGAGACCACTCGCAGCCACCGCCTCCGGAGATTTCAACGAACCAGGTGGGCGGCGCGACGGTGCCACTTGGTGTGATGTCGCCTGTCGCTTGCACACCGAGTGACGCGCGGCAAAGGAAACCCGCCTCCCCCCGAGACAAAGACCACTGCGTGGTTGCCGCGTAGGCCTCGGCCATGTGCCTTGGGACTGGCGAGGGCGGCGTCGTGCCACGTCGTGCATCCTCCCCAACGGCCTTCGCCGACTTGCATGCTGGCAAACCATGTGTGGCACAGGACAACTCTGTTCAGCGCGAGGGTGGTCCTTTATGGATGGCGACCTGACTCGGGCGATGAGGAAATGAGTCATTGCCGTGAGTCATTCCACAAGCCAGGGCCGTGCGGTCGTCGGCGCGTCGACGTCGTGGTGGAAAGCGGCTCGGGTCGACCCACCGACTCAAATCCTGGGAAGTCGCGTCGACGAAACCGTCGCACTTTGTCGGACCACCACCACGACCTCGAGCGCACTTGACGGCGCGTCGGGCGTGAAATGGACCTGTCGTGCTTGTCCCGGGAGCGCCATGCCATGGGAGGAAGGGCCGTTGTTCCGTACCCGTGCCCATGCGATCGAGAACGAGAAGAGAGAGCGATGTCGTGGAGACGATGCCAGGCAAGAATAGTTAGGTGATTACACAGGGTCGGGACAACGTCCGTCACGGCGCGGCGGCAGTGGAGGGGTTGGTTCGCGTCGCCGTTTTCGCTTCACCGCGGCGTCCCGGCGTGCGTTTAGTGTGGGTGCCGACTGGTCGTGGAGGGCGCCAAGATGCTGCTTCGTGGGAGCGGGGAGGCGTCGTTTCACGGCTGACGGCGGATAGTCGCCGATCCAGGCCGCGTGGAGCTCGCACGCAAACTTGGTCCCGGTCATCGACGGAAGCACCTCCACGAGCGTGACGTGAACGATCGTGCGAATCGCGATGCCTCCAAGGTTCATGTGCATCGCGTCGGTCCAAGCCAGGACATCGGGGGGAACGACAAGGGCTGTGCTGACGGCGCGGAGAGCGTAGCTGCCTCGAATTTGCTTGGGAAACGGATGGCGGCAAGTCGGACATGTCGATCGACGCTCGAGCCACGACGCGATGCAAGCCGCGTGGAAGCAATGGCCGCACGGCTCTGTCCTCACAACAACAGGCGACCGCCCAGTCGTTGGTGGTCCAAGGGAGCTCATGCAAATCACGCAGTCGTCTGCGCTACTGACAGAGATGGGCGTGAAGTCGTCCATCACGGTTCGATCGGCCGGCGTCGAATGTTTCAGATACGGCACCACCGCTTGCGACACAAACGAAACCCACGACGGGCTCAGGACCAGGTCGAACACGTCGCACATGGACGACCGGTCGGGAACGGTGTACCGGACGCTCATGCGCACAGTCACTCCGCGCTGAGTCATCGCGGGTGAAAAGTGGATGTGGTATTTGGGGGCGGGACTTGATGGTGGCCGTGGGATCTCGTCACCACGTGGGAGTCTGGATCGTTGCACATGCGGGGCGCCGCCTTCTCCCCACCGACATGGACACGCACAGGGCGATCCAGTTGTCCCGACTACGCACAGAGTTCGCCGCGCGCTCAAGCGATGGAAGCCACCCGTGTGGACGTCCTCCCGCCAAGCCGACGCCAGAATGTATTGGCATGACATTATACAGAGTCATTTTTACACGCACAATATATTTGAGCATTTCGCCGGTTTTTCAACAAAATTCACCCAAAATTCCATTGATATGTCCATCAAATATTGTCACCCAAAATGGATTACTAAAATCTCGGAAGCCGATGAACCGTTCGGTTTAACGAATACAGGTTCGCTGGCAATATGATAACAAGAACGTAAGGCATATACTTGCCTCCGAGCTGTTCACCCCAGCACAGCCTGGTTGAGGGTTGGTGGCACGATATATTTTGGTGCTGAATGGCGTTCGTGACGGTGCAGCGTCGAGCCCTCCCCCCCGTGGGCCATGCTCTATTCGACGCACCCGTCGAAATATCTCTACATTATCGAAAACTGCCTATGTGTATCGTTGGCTTCAGTGTGATGTTTTATTATACTGGAGTACATAATATTCTCAAGGGGACACAGTCCATTTTTGACAATCTTTACAAATTGCGCATTTTTATGCCAATCGAAAGGAAAATTCACACGGGACACTTAAGAAATATTGGATTTGTATGGACGATTTTGAGAAAAATCTGGTAACTACTTCTGACCTTGACATGTGTATGGTAAAAATCATCAAATTGCATGGCATATAGACAACAATTACACGTTTGAATGGTAGATCTGGCGAAGTCCAACACAACTCTCGGTTCAGCTAATCGACTGAAGACGTGACTCTCGATGGAGTGAATTTGTTATACCGTTCCCGTCCTTTTGTCGGTCAACTAGGCGCATCGGATATCCTGTTTGCACTTTATCGGGAAGAATTTGCCCATGTCTCTGGAGTTTTAAGTACGTTTTACCTACTTGGAAGAGAAAAACGTAGTAGTGAATGGTTTAAAGTCGATTTCCGGAAGGTTCAAGAACAACATCCCAGACGTTCAACAATAAAACGTCGACGACCCCACGCCAACAGTCTTAGGACTTGCATGTCCAACAACGAGATACCAGAGCCCAAGCATTACGCCCTGGAGACGAGCTTCGAAATAGCCATTGAACCATACTTGCCCTGTTCAACACACCTTTCCCCCAAGCAATATCCGCGACACGGAATGTCCCCCATTGCGTTGCTCGGTTGAACAACTCAACCGGATGACGAGGTTTTCCGAGTTTGCGTCACGAGATCATGCAAAAAAGTCAATTTCTCGTGAGTTTGCGAATGTCACGACCGCGCCCCACACGAATCCTCCATCCAACATGCAGGGAGTCCATTTTTGCATAATATATGACGACTCCCTTCAATTTACCAACGTTTGAAATACAAATGACCGATTAAATTTGCATACAAAATGTATTTCTTGTCGTCGTGCGTCGGCGGGGATCCCGTCGGTCGTTCCGCGCGATGTAACGTTTCACCGTGCAGTTGTTCAAAGCGCTGCCGAGGTGGACAATGCCAAGACGATTCAAGTTGATGTGCAGTCGCTCCAGCACTGCCGTGGCGTCGGCAAGGGACCCGCAAGAGCATCGTTTATGCTCGGGCCTGATCTAGATTGCGACCTTGGATACAAAAGCGTGTCCTGCCTCGAGAAGGCGGCGGCCCGGCACTTTTTTTTATCTCGTTTTCAATACGCCCGAATTTACCGTCGACAGCAGATGGTTGAGGCCGGACTACTTTAACCAGTGCAGCAGCGACCGCCAGCACGCGTGGTTGCCGTGGCAGTCGTGTCCAACTCGAATGGAATTCGCCGTAGGCCTGCACGACGTTCGTCGCGATTGCAATACAGTGATGCCATGGCTTGGTGGTTCACACACCCATGTGTTTGCCGCCGACTTCCGACTTCGTCGCAGAGTGTTCCTCTCGGGACCAAGCCGGAAGTGCATGGAACACGCGGGAGGGACATGTGTGCTTGTTCGATACAAACATCAAGTGCACATCCACCACGAGAACCATCAAACATGTTTGGTCGTGGATGTCGCGCTGCCCCTTTGTATGCCATTTTGTATGCAATGCTTTCATGATGTGCTACATATTCTGGTCGTCTCCATCGTCGTCGCTGTGTAAAACCTATATAACGCACTTGGGTACGTTATAAACGATCGAGTGCTTTTCCCACTTCTCAACTTCAGGGATTGATTCCACATGTCGGCCGCACGTCCGAGCGTGGGAGATGGTGCCGAGACCGCCGCTGGTGCTTCGGAAGCAAGTCCAAGGGGAGTTGTCAGCCCTTCCAGTGGAGGTGTGGTAGCGGCCGCGTCGTCCACAGCCTTGAACGTCCGTGTGACTGTACGGTACCCAGCACCAGCGAACGCCAAAGTTCCAGACATTCTTGCTCTGTTTCGCAGCGCGACGTGGGTGAATGTCATGATCCGGTACATCGTGCCATACCTGAAGACGTCGACACCGGCAAACCGAGATATCGTGACGAATCTGCCGCACCATGCTTGCTGTGGCGGAGAAGACTGTGTCATATGCATGAGTTCCATGCAAGATGCAGTCACCTTGCCATGTGGACACCACTTCCACGCAGACTGCATTGATGCGTGGCTGCGTCTTCGAAGTACCTGTCCCACATGTCGCCACCAAATTCAGAACGCGTTCTCGGGGCGGTATGCGTTCAAGGGCATCAATACGGCGCTGGTGATTGACGACCTGGACCCATCCATCTCGGTGGACGCGCTGCAACGACTGGAACTTGGCGGTCGCGTGCTCAAAGCGGTGGTGCGCATCGCAATGGTCCGTGTGACGCATGTGCCTGAGCTGGAAAAGTTTCCGTGCGAGCTGAACGCAATGGTGATGACAGGGTCACACGCAATGGTGCAGCACCTTCACCGACCTCCTTCGGCAACAACCGCGGACACTGCTCTCACATCCTCAGCGACAACAACAGTCCCACCGACGCCAACTCTGCGCCGGCAGTCATCTAGGAGTCGCGTGCGGCCGGCGTCCTCCGTAGCCTTGCCAGTGGTCAAACGGCGCCGCCTCGTTCGATAAACGAACCGCCTTTGTAAACATCCTTATTTAATTGCTTTCAATACAACATGGAAGTGAAGTATAATTTTTCCCTTAAAAGTATCGGTCGCGGCTTCCGAATGCCGGGGAGTGATGCAGGGTGTGCAGCCGACGCCATCGCAATTGTAGAAGCTGTCGCGGCGCCCATGGACTGAGGAGTTTTCATGTCCAGGGATGGGCATGCCGACAGGAATCGCGAGGTTGATGCGCGTGGATCGGAAGGAGGGTTGTAGTATCACGCCGCGGTGATCGACGATCAGCACGTATTCGGGTCATTGTCACACGGGAACAAGATCCGCACCCCCTTCACTCTTTGAAGGGTTGTGGGCGCCCAATCGTAGCGAACCGAATGTGGCGATGTAATGCACAATCATCTAGGCTGGTTGCAGAGCCCAGATGCGCCGGCATAATTCCGAGCAACCTCGAGCGTGCGACGGCTCGCCGCATCATGCCACGCAGGCTCCGCAAGCTGCCAGTAGTGAGAGATTTGATTGGTAGAATATATGAATTTATAGCCTATAGATTTGCGTTTTCAAGGTCCACTGTGATTGGCTTCGACAATTGGTAAAGGAATTCGACGGCGATCGCGGACATGCTGCTTCGACGTCTGCTGCCCGTGGCCGCGGCATGGAACCGCCGCTATTTCTCGGACTTCCTGCCTGACCTCATCATCACGAAGTCAACGTCCACGGTGCAGACTAACGATCTTGTCATCTATGTATCTCATGATTGATGTAGCAACTGAATGCTTTGAACCGGAATTCACCGACAAAGAAGCATTTGCGCGTGGCAGTTGAGGGCGGAGGCTGCTCCGGGTTTCAATATGTGATCACTCTGGAAGATGCACCTCTGGGTATGCAAGCGACACGATGAATGTCTTGACACCTGCTCACTCTTTTGCGCAGACGACGACGACCGTGTGTTCGAAAAGGACGGGGCCAGGATCGTGGTTGACTCGACTTCGATGGACTTGCTGAAAGGTAACCCTCGGTGGCCCTCTGAAATATAGGCTGGTTTGAAGCTCAAGGAACGCTTTATGTGCGCAGGTAGCACCGTGGATTTTGCACAAGAGCTGATCCGCAGTTCGTTCACTGTGATCAACAACCCGAACGCTGTCAGCGGGTGCGGGTGTGGAAGCTCGTTTGAATTGAAAGAATAATACGTTTTGTATGCAGTGGATTGTGCATACTTCATCGGCTCGATCAGTCCCAATGTGGACCATGGTGCACCATCGCGATACTTACCTCCGTCCCTCGGACCGGTACTTTTGCGTAGACATCGTCATCGATTGACGATGGCAACAGTCTTCATTGTGATTCAACATCCCTGCTCAAGGTTGGTGTCATGTCTGCGCCCTTCCTGTGAGTCCAAATCCCACGTTCGTATCACAAGGTGACGACGAGTCCATCAGTGGGGCTGGACTCGATGGACCTTTACAAATTGGATGGCTTTGGAGCGTCGAGTCCAAAGGGATGGGCGCCAAATGCCTGCCATATGAGCATGATACGAACGGGGTGGGCGGTGCATCCCAGTTCCTGCGCACATGAGCCCGAAGTGTGGGTGGAAAGTCGCCGAGGGAACACGATGAGGTGACACGTTTGCCGTTTTTGATCATCTTCCTGGAAATTCTGCGAAAAATGAAAAAATAAGTATTTGCTGGTGGATATGCCGCTAAAGTCAAGTGTCAAAACTGAAAGCAAATTCATAAATACTTGCAAATTTGTCCACTTTTTCGCGTTTCATCCGTGCAAAAAGTATCTTCGTGCCGCAGCGATCTTTTGGCGAAACCGTCACTTCCGCGGCTGCTCCGAGCTGCCACCACGATCGCCGCCAAACATGGAAGGTATGCAAGGATTGATCTGTGGGACGTTGTGTTGACGCGGATGGCAACTCGCAGAACGTATCAAGCGATTAGCTCCAAGCATCACGATCAGGTATGGAACACATGTTCTTGGGTGCTTGTTTCATGGCGACCCGTAGCGACTGCCCGTCCGAGGTGTTTTGTACGCGATTCTCCCCCGATGGAACGTTGTTGGCTGCAGGGTGTGGTGACGGCGCCATTCGAGTACGAGGAATTGCCGTTCATGACTGTCCATGTGCCGTGATGATGCTTCGTGTATTTTCAGATTTTTAACGTTCAAAATGGCACGCTCGCGTATACGCTCATGCAGCCCCATCACAACTTTGGGTTTGGTATGCCGTGTACCGCGATTCGTTTTCGCCCTCTAACGAGCGCGTCCAAGACCAAGAACGTCCTACTTGCCGTCAGTACGTCACGTCGTCTGGCACAACCGGTCCATATGCGCCTCACATGCTTCCACGTAGATTCAAACGGTTCGGTGGAGCACTGGCACATCACGTCCGGCAAGTGTCTCCATGCGATCACGGATGACACGAATCAATTGTACGCGTTGGACTACCGTGCTGATGGCGCGGTGTTTGCCACGTCGGGAAAGGATCACGTGGTACCTTCGCTCGTTCGTCAATCTCGCGGGCTGTCATGAAGCCTAGATTCGCGTGTACGACGAAGCAACCAAGACAGAAGTGACGTCGATGAAGGGCGGGTACGTCTGCCGTGGCTTCGCATCCCGTTTCTTAACTTGATGTGCACCACCAGCCACGGCACCCTCACCGCAGGGCACTCGAACCGCGTGTTCAGCGTCAAGTTTCATCCGCTGGACGAGAACACAATCATATCTGGCGGATGGGACAACACGATTCAGATTTGGGACACGCGCGTCGGCCATTCGGTCCGCGGCATCTACGGCCCGCACATTGCAGGTGCTGCACACGTCCAAATTACCAACTTGCCTGATGGTCTCGAATTGACAGGCGACGCCATTGACATCAACGCAAAGAATGAGATCCTGACGGGGTCGTGGCGCCCTGAAAATCCTCTGGAGGTATGTTGGCCCCGTTTTGTGTCGACTTGACCAACGACGCCGACTAGTTGTGGGATTACGGGTCCGGCAAGCGCCTCTGCACGATCCCGTGGAACCAAAGCGCGTTGAAGGGCGAGCCGTGCTTCTTGTATGCGGCGCAGTTCACAAAAGACCCGCGAACCAACTTGATTGCAGCGGGAGGGAGTGGATCGAACGAAGGCAAAGTGTTCAGCCACAACACGAACAAGGTCTCTTCTGTTGCTCCTCCAATACGGTCCCGTGTCGATGGAATGCTGACAACGGGAATCGCCGTGCATGCATAGCTCATTGGAACTGTTGCGGGGCTCAGTCGAGGTGTTTTTACACTGGACTTCTCTCCTGCCGGCGACAAGCTTGCCCTCGCTGGCGCCGACGCGGCGATACGCATCATTGACATTTACGATTACGTTCCTGGCGACAAAGCACGCGAGCGCCCGGTGACCCCATCGATCAAGTATGTTGCGTGTTCTGCACCCTCTTGTTCGATGTGAAATACTGACACGTTGCAGGAACGCTCCCTTGACGGCGTCTTCCAGCGACCTCCGGATCCATTCCCCTCGAGGAGCATCGTCGCAGCAGCTGCCGACGCCGCCCAATATCATGCCCGTCCATCAGTAGTTTCCACGATTTGTCATGACGGGAACGACCGGCGTTCGCGTGATGCCGACATCGCACTTGAACGAGCAAACAATATTTGTACAGATCGAATGATAATTGCAAATATCAAGAAATATTCGCGGACAATCGTGCGAATTCAAAATATTTGTGCAACTCGACGGATGATTGCAAAGATCAAGACATATTCTTGGGAACACAAATAAATTGTTCTCCACATTAGCTCGTAGACTAGTTTGAGATTCCGCTCAAAATATACTGCATCGATCGAACAGCGCGATGGTCGTGTACGCGGTGGACGTCGGCGGGGCGACGTTGAAACATGGCGATGTGGCAGGACCGACGTATTCCGTGTCAGAAAATTGCGTGCGTATGAATGTGAAGCAACACAGTGCGCAGATTCGACGTCCCATTGAGCGGGGATACGTGGTGAATTGGACCTTACAGGTACTACCGTTGTACGTAGGCGCCGCTCGCCGAGGCAAACGGGTGCATTTCTTGCTGCTCCTAGGGCGATATTTGGCAGGACTGCTTGCCGACTCACCCCGATGCAACCATGCTGCTCACTACCCCCGTCTTCACCCCGGACAAACTCTTGCAAACGCAAGACGAGGTTGTATTTGAAGAATTCCACATGGCCGCAATGGCGAACGTGATTCCCCAAGCCATGGTACCATTCGCGATGACGTCGCAGTCCCCTGTATTCGTTGTCGTGGATGTCGGCTTCTCCGCGACGCACATCGTGCCATGGATCGCCGGTAATACGACCCCGACTGCGTCGTCTGTCCTCCTCGTCGCGTCACTAGGATCGATCGTTTGGGAAGGCGTGCGGCGAATAAACGTCGGCGGCAAGATGCTCACAAACTACTTGAAGGAATGTTTGAGCTTTCGCCAGTGGAACATGATGGATTCGTACGACCTAATCAACGACGTGCGTTGCTCCGCCGCACCGTCGTGATCCCATGAATCGTTGACCCAGGTGAAAGAAGCAGCCTGCCGATGCTCACTGGATTTCGAGCACGACATGAAAGCTTATGCGGCGGCTTCCAGCTCCACCATGTCCTTGACTTCATCTCCATCCACCAACTCGCTCGTCAAGGAATGGGCGCTCCCCGATTTTGTACACACCCACCGCGGGTCGTTGGTGGTACGTAGCCATGCCCACTTTTGCTTTGCCGTGCATGCTTGTACCTCGCGTAGACGCCGCCAGGAATCGACTTGCCTCCTCACGTCCAGGTAACGAGCCGCTTGAAAGTGCCGTGCTGGTGTCGTTGGGAGTTGCAAGGATGGTCCAGAGTTTTTTACATCCTGTCCTTCTTCTTGTGGGTATCGAGGCACTGTTCGATCTGCCTCTTGCGTCGTCGCGGTGGTGGAATGCCGCGTCAAGATGTTCTGCGTGGGCTACGGCGTCGCATTGCCGCGCGCAACGTTCTCTTGCAACGACACTTGCGTCACAATTTATTGCAAAGCCGCAACGTTTCCCGCGAGGCTGACTGGCAACGTGGCAGGTGATGCGCATTGGTGTGGAATCGATCGCGATCCCAGAGATTGTGTTTCATCCGTCCGACATTGGGATCGACCAAGACGGCATCGCGCCCGCCATCGTCGACGCGATCTCTGCCTGTCCTGCGTACGTTCAAGGCTGGATGTTTAACCACATTCTCGTGACAGGCGGCACGTCGCTGCTGCCGCAATTCATCGATCGACTCGAAATGGACTTGCGCCCGCTCGTGCCCGCGGACTTGGGCCTTTGCGTTCACCATGTCGACGAGTATGGAGACTGTCTTGACCCGCGTCAACTCACGGTAGCGTTGTGGTAGCCCCATTGGTGCCGTGTGGAGAGGATGCCAGGCATTTGCGATGTCGTCGCGCTTTGCCGACGCCGTCGTCACCAAGGCAGAGTACATGGAGCATGGAAGCGAGGCGTTGCGGCGGTGCCGCGACAAGACGATGGCTCCACGACCATTCAAGTTGTAGCTGGCCGAGTATGCTTGGAGGAATACAACAGCTCCTGGATCGAATACACCATGTTGCACTGGGCGATTCCCATTGAGTTAAGGCTATCCAATGCGTGGGTTGCGCCGACTGCCACTTCGGCTCCGACGACAACTCGAACGCGTGTCAACTTGCTGCTGCCGCTTTACCCCCACAGGCATGCGGAACGGTCGGTCGCGCCCGCCAAAGCGGAGCTGCCCGGATTCTTTGCGACCGCCCAACCCACCACCCAAGCGTCGCGGCTTCCACCCTTTCATGACACGCGAACGTTCGTACTCGACGAGGATGGTCCGGCCGTCGACAATCAACCTATTCATGCATGCGTGCGCGCGTCAAGAACGTAGAACGCGGTCGTGACCGGTTGCTCAAGCGATGCTGTACCGATTTGTGGCAGCGTACGCTTCTTCAAAGTCCCGTTCGTGCACATACTCAATGAACGCATACCCTCGGCTCTCCTGGGTCACGACATGGCGGACAAGGCGCAGACGCTTAATGGGTCCGTACTTGCCAAAGATGGAGTGCAGCGTCTCCTCTGACGTGTCGTAATTCAGCCGAGCCACAAACAGGGTCGTGTAGGGGTTCCCCATGATGTTGGGGTCTTTCGATGCGTCAAACTTGGCCATTTCCGCACGGACGAGTCCTCTGTCATGCGGCACATTCGACTCGCATCCGTCGATGGACCCGATCAGCGCCACGTCGTAATCGTGCGCGTACCAGTGTGTGTCCTTTCGGTCGTGTCTGATGCAGTGGCGTGGACGACTGCCGCTCCTGTCCCTTCTTCGATCCATTCCGCACGAACCAGGATGTGCCAGAATTTCTTGACGTTTCCGACTTGAATGTATTGTTTATTGTTCATATCTAAATCATTTAAATGAAGATCTACTATAATTTATTGAAAAGTTTTTCGCGCATTGTTGTATTGCCGACTCCGAAGATGGCGACATCCATGTTCAACCTCGACGACGAAGCAAGGAACCTCGTCTACGGAGATGACGACGATGAAGAGCAAATGACAGAGAAGACGTCTTCAGGCGTGGACAAGCCCTTGGTGAAGCGAGGCGCGTCCTGTACCTTTTCTGGGGGTGCAACAAGTACGCTCAAGCAGGTCGAGCTTTTCCCATTCCGCCGAAACATGGCACTCACGCGACATCTCGTTGAACGATCGTAGGAGGGTTATGCATCGCGCACGGCGGTGGCAGACTTTGCACCGATGCCTTATGTCCGCAGTACCACACACGCACGTGCAAGAAACACGGCGGGACGAAAAAGTGCGATCATCCCGACTGCACCAACGTGTCCGTGGGCAAGACTCGCATGTGCAACACCCATGGACCGGGTCGACGTTGCCAGGTGCTGCCGTCAAATGCCCCACAGACGTTACAACCTCACACGTTCATGCTTGTAGAAAGAGGGTTGCACGAAACTCGATGCAGGTCGGGGGTTCTGCATGGCGCATGGTGGTGGGCGTCTGTGCAAGATGGATATTTGTTCGAAGAAGCAATACCGCGGCGGGTACTGCTACGAACATGCCACAAAGCCCAAGTGCCGCGCAGAAGGTTGCACCCGCATGGACCTTGGCAATTCGTTTTGCAAGCGGCATGGTGGAGGCTACACGTGCAAGGCACCTGGATGTACCAAGAAAGATCAAGGCAAGGGCTATTGCATCGCTCATGGCGGCGGCAATCTTTGCCAGACACAAGGGTGCGTGGAATCATAGGAGCCACAGGATCAAGTCGTCGACGTTGTCAATTGGATGGGCTAGATGCAACAAGGTGAACCGTGGCGGTGGGCATTGCAAAGCTCATGGTGGTGGTATGTTTCGACGAGCGAGCGATAGATGGGTGCTTCCCAATGCCCGCTCGGGCCAACGATTCGTCGTTGAATCCGTGGTGTTGTGGATGTGTCGAAATTCGTTTCGATTCCATCAACGTGCCAACGATTTTCTGAATATTTTGCGACTGATTCACGCTGCTCCAGGCAAGAAGTGCGCCGATGCTTCGTGCAAGAATTGGGTGCTCGGGGGTGGCTGGTGCAAAGACCACGGCGGTGGAAGTGCCGCAGTGCCGCGTTCTACGGGCAAGCGATGCACCAAACCAGGTACGTTCCACAGATAAATATCGTTCCATGCGTTGATCAAAGTGGGATGGCCTCTGTTGAATGATATCAAACTGGTATTGTGTGTGGTTCACTCCTCATGGTTTCTGGAATAAATAGGATGCACGAAATACAACCAGGGCGGAGGGTATTGCCTAGCTCATGGCGGTGGCGTCGAGTGTTCCGAGGTCGGATGCACCAAGAAACAGGTCAGCACTCTAGGATACAGAAGCTACTGGCAATCCTATCTATCCCACCAAAGACATCGATCAGTCTGACTGTGCTGTTGGTGTGCCGCCTTTCGTCGAGGTGACTGATGATATGTGACTGTAGACGCGATTTGGCCTCTGCAGCGGACATGGAGGCAAGGCACGTTGCAACGTGGAAGGATGCGACAAGATCAGCCAGACGAAAGGCCTGTGCAAAGCGCATGGAGGCGTCAAGGCGTGCAGGTTCGTTACCCTGCATAGGCTACAATGTGTTTGCCCAGCGCAGGATGCCGCCGACTCTGGCAGTGTCTGCGCTTGCAACGATTTGAAGGGCCCGCCAACCAACCAGTTCTGAAGACTCGTGGCATCAACGTGCAGTTTTCGTGTGCAGCGTGTGGCGACATGCTTGACAGAGTTTTGTCATTTGTTCCCGAGCGATTTTCGCACGACGATCGAATTGACCCGTTGACCTTGTGTAGTACGCTCAACTGTACGCGGCAAGCCAAAGCACGAGGTCTGTGCATTGCTCATGGAGGCGGCGCCAAATGTCGACACCCCAACGGCTGCGACAAGGCCCAGCGAGCCGGCGGACTCTGCAATGCCCACACGCGCTTGAATGCCCACGGGAATGCTAGCTACGGTAACCAGGAAGGCCACCAACCCACTGGAACAGACAGCGCAACCCTCGCCATTCAATCTGCACAATCCGCTCATGGAGCTCCTCCGTCGGTATGTCGAAGCCGTACCTAGCCAAGCATGATTCGCATGGCCATGCTGCACATCGAATCGACTCTTGACTGGTGGTGCGTCTAGACGAGGATGCTGTCAGGTGCCACATCATCGACCCGGCACCACTTGGTCCCGCCACCAACGTCTTCGACCTTGCCAGCATTTCCAACGACGAGTGCATTGCACCACCATCACCAAAACCAACCGACGCTGGTGCAGTTCTCGACCGCTGTCTCGATCTTGCATCCTTCAAACGCCACGATATCGATCTTAAACCCCGAACCGAGCGAGGTAAGGGTCTGGAATCGACGGCTGCTGTGGCTGACTAAAGAGCGGCGGTAGGACGATCCAGCGGCCGACGACTCGACGGCCCCAGCACAGCTGCTGCCGACCGCGACTTCACTCACAACCGTGACCACGTCGTCGTCCAACACACTCACGCACCTCCTCGACTCATGCTTGCCGTACATGTACTCGCTTCCGTCGTTGCGCATGGACGGATTGCTTCCGTCGGTTCCGTCGGCTGCAGCGCCCGACGAGGTCCGTCCATAGGATGTCAACACGTCGTGGAATAACTCTTGGGCGCCGTTAGGTGGTGCGATCCCATGGCCTCCAGCATCAACTCAACCCCATCGACGACTTGATTCACCCAACAACCCAGGACGCCGCCCTCACCATGACGTCGCTGTGGTGACGCAAAGCTCGCGTTAATTTTTTCGGATCGCCAGCTGCACGCGACCAGTCACGAATCGCATGATTCCCAGATCCTGCGGCTCCATGTGCTGCTGCTGGTGCGCTCGTGCCCCACACAACGTCCTGACGCATCATCGTCATGGAGTCGTCCACCAAGTCACGAATGGAATCGCGCACCTGCATCAAGTGAGTGGCTGCTCGCCCCTCGTTGGCACCCAAACCTGCGTGGACAGTAGTACAGTTCTCCTTCTCTTGGACACGTTCTTTTGGGTACAAGTCACGCCACATGGCTGCCAGTTCCATGTCGCTGCGCGGACGCCACGCGGCACGAGCGATGATGCTTTCAACCATGTGGCATTCGGCGGCTGCGCTGGACCAACCCCCGCATGTCGCGCGCGACCTTTTCATGGAAACCACGATGATTGTCGACTCGACATCGCGGTGTGCCGTCCGAAATGGACCTTGATCGGGATGAAGTGCTTGGCATTCGAAGCGCGCATGGTCGACAAAGCATCAGAGACGGATAAACTTTGGTTGAAACTACAAGTCGTGATCTAGGGAAGCGATGCCAAGAGGGACTGCACAAGGCCGACCCCGAAACCCGTGGCGATGTCGCCCTCCGTCACGGGGTACGCCATGTCAACGTGGACCCACTTGCCCGTGGTTTCGTAGTCGCCGAGGTGGTTCGCGATGAATTGACCGGCGCAACTCACTTGGGCGTTCGCGCGGTCCTTGACGCTGTTCTTCATGTCGGCGAACTTGCTCTTGAATTCGTCGCGGAAGAATTCAGGCGCGTACGGCATGGGGTGGACAAAATCCCCCGACGCTTTGCCGGCCGCGACCGTCCTGTCCTCGAGGTCTCCATCGTTTGACAGGACAGCGGCGTATCGCTTGCCGGTCGCGATGCCCTGGGCGCCTGTCAACGTCGCCATGTCGAGAATTACGTAAGGGTTCAAGTGCTTGACGGCGTATGCGACGCCATCGCCCAACACGAGGCGACCTTCTGCGTCTGTGTTGTTGACCTCGACCGTCTTTCCAGAGTACAGAGTGTGGATGTCGTCCGGGCGCGTGGCCAACGGACCCACGGCGTTCTCAGCAAGGCAGAGGACAACGTGGAGAGGGCGCGAGGTGAAGCGACCGGAAAGCACAGAGGCTTCGAACGCACCGAGCAACCCGGCGGCACCACCCATGTCATGCTTCATACCGACCATCATGCCCGAGATCTTCAGCGACAATCCACCAGTGTCGTACACGATGCCCTTGCCGACCAACGACACACTCGGAATCGACTTGGATTCCGGAGTGGGGTAGTGACTGAGCACGACGAGCGCGGGAGGGTGCGCCGCAGCCTTACCGACACCATAAATTCCACCAAAACCCTTGTCGTTCAGCTCTTCGCCACGGATCACAGTGATTTCGGCGTTCAAGCGCGCGGCAGCAGCGCGGGCTTCGGCCAAAAACGTGTCTGTGTTAAGTTCGTTGGGAGGCGAGTCCACAAGCCGTTGGGTCAAGTGGATGCCCGTTGCTGTCGAGTTGAGAGATTTCAAGGTCGAATCGTCCAACTCGTGGTCAAACACGACGACCACTTGGTCGAGCGTCACGGACGTCGACTCCCCGTCGGTGATGACACCGCTTTGAGCCGCGCCGCTCTTGTGATTGTACGAGGTTGAAATCCCCTTGGCGACGGCAACACCAGCCGAGACGGTCGTAGAGGCATGTTCGGGCAACGCCAACGCCACAATCACATCGCTGGTGTCAGACACGTTGCTGCGGACGAGCGCGGAAATGGCATGCGGGCGAGCAAGGGTATTGTAGCGGGAGATGAAGGTCGGGAGCTGAGCAACAACGACACTGGCGACACCGCGTTCACCCAACGACACGTACAAGTGCGACGAGGCGGCGCTGTCGGCACCAGCTGACAACTTCGACACAGCATGTTCAACGATCGCGGTGTCAACCGGGGAGTCGTTGTTCAAACGGGCAAGGACTTGTTGCGCGAGAGCTGTCGCAGGCGTTTCCTTGGTGCCGATAACGACAACCTTGGGGAGGGTCGCGTAGTCAGGGAGCGCGGCGACGTCGGCAACGTACTGGACCATCGGACGTGATGCGAGGGCTTCCTTGGAAATTCGAAAGTGACGTCCGATTGGGTTTCAAACTTAAATCGCTTGAAAATCACGAAAACTCCCAGGGACATTTTTTATCGTGGCATCCTCCTCCATACTAGAACCAAGATCAAAATCGTTGCATCCGTTCAATAATTTATAGTTGAACTTCAATGAGTACTAGGTGTGCTGCGTGACGTCGGAACAGCACAGGGATGTATTTAACAATATTTTTCAAATTGGTCCTGGAAAACTCGGCGCAGTTTAATACGAATGCCCAAATGTCATTTGAAATTTGAATGCTTCTGCATTATTATATGGCCTCGAATTGTTTACCTTGCAGTGTTTGAAACCCGGGCATCCCACCTGTATGGCGGCAACGACTGGAATAGGAATGATAGAGACACGGATTGCGTATGGAGGATTCAAAGGCGAAGGAGACACCATCCAACCGAGGTCACCATTCCTGTCGCTATTCCCTTTCATGTTGATAGGAGGACAAGACGAGCGATGTGACGGTTGGATTGGTTCAGAGTCGTCTGGGACGACGCGTACTGAACTGTGCTTGTCGTTGGCGGCGGCCTCGTCGCACAAGTTGTCCCAACGACAGCATTTCCTACCACGGCGTTCGAGGCATATTTGACCCCTACCTTCACACAATAATATGAGCGGAAACAACGGGCGAAATCGTTTCGAACGGCCAAGCTTAACGATCCATACGGACTGCCACCCACCATCGCTCGCCACTGCACCGGCACTAGTCTGCGACAGTATTCTCCTCACGACTTATGTATCATCGCCCGTATGCGATCGAAATTAGAAAGAGCAAGCTCTGGACGATCAAGTGGATCCCATGGAACGCATTCGCATGTCGTTCCAAGTACACGAAGAGGATGTACAATATGTCGTATCACCTCTGTCCCAGGTAGGATCGTTGGGCGTCACTCTCAATGTGCAATTTTATCAATTTCCAGGGTGGTCATAGATTCATGCAGCCGCACACAACCACTCGAAACCTCTATAAACCAATTTGAAGTACCGAAGCTGGCATAAAAATATAGAAATATCAATAGACGCAGTGAATACGACCACCGTTTTAAGTAGCGGCCCTCATCGACGAAATCCCCCGTTCAGACTCTGAATGCTACATCATTTGGAGTGCAATCACTATACTAGATGAAAAGTGCTCCTATTCAGTCGTCCTTGATAATGCGATATGTGAAAAACGACTGCGTAAACCGGCCCAGCGATAATTTGCGCAAAAAGCCATTTCGCACAGAAACTCGAACGGCCGCGCTGTTGCATTACAGACATTTCATGTAGTGTGCAAAATGCACTATATTTGACTCGATAATATATCTTGTGCTCTGTTGTGTGTTGAATATATATATATTGTACTTGCATATTTTTTGTGCTAGAGGACGATGTACCCATGGCAAATCACTTACGACGTGCGTGACACATGGCACAGACGGCACGTCGGCCATTTTCAATCGTTCGTGGATCCACATGCGAGTCTCCCCCGTGGCCATCGCGGTAGTTGCGACTTCTGCAGCTGCTCTTCAGTGCACCACGTCCCAAATCAATGTGGTTGTGTCCGCAGCCCAGGGCTCTGCAAACTCCATCCCGTGCACGCAAGTCGCGGGGTTCTCGATCTCTGAGTTCATCTCGAGCCCCACGTTGACCCCGACGGAATCGCAGTTGGCCAAGGCGAATGCGAACCCCAACTGCGTCGCTCTCATCAAGGAGCTTCAGGGGTTGACGATCACGGCCAATTGCGAATGGTGGAACGTGCCGCTCAAGACGTTGCTCCAACTCGACTTCAAGGGATGGGTTGTCGCAAAAGTCCAAGCGATTGGAGACCTGCCGACGACGACTCCTGCCGCCACCACTGCCACCACCCCCACCTCTACTGCCCCAGAGGACGACGATGAAATTACCACCAAGACCCCCACGACAACCACTGCCAAGACTACTACCAAGGTGACAACGCCCCGTCCGACGAACGTCGCCAACAACACTAACACTTCCGTGCCGACGACCGACGTCATTACAACGGAAGCCCCCTTCCCGACGGATGAACCCACGGAAGAGCCCACGACGAAGAAGCCTACAACGCGTGCTCCAACGACCACAGTGCCATCGTCAGCGATCCCTGTCGTGTACTCGATCGCTGCGGTCGCTGTCGCCGCGGCTGCGACCATGATCTAATTCGTTTCATATCAGATCCATCTAAAAATTCTTCCTGTCGGGCGGCAGGGGCACCCAATCTCTTGAGGATTCGTCAGTGGCTCGTATGCCTCCGGACATGGGGGTCAAACCTTCGAACCCGTCAGCACAGACTGGAGCCTACACTGGTGGCCTTCCAACTCGAGCGGGCCACCACGACGGCACCACTGCCTTGATATCTGTGCCTTCGAATCGCAGGAACGGTGCTGCCGAAGAACTTGCGATGCCACCATGCAAATCGGCTCAGAATGGACGGAATCACGCATGCATAAGAGAATACCACCATGACCAAGTGTAATACGCTAGAGCAACGGCCTTGCAAAAGTAATGCGCACCGCCATCTCTCACGTCGCCGCCACCCCACGACGTCCGTCGGCGAAGGCTTTTGCGCATGATCCAGCATATCGCCATGGTCGCTTTCATTCGAGTTGTTTGTATATTCATGGAAATTTTATTCTTAATTTCTACGACCAAAACCCGTTTAAAATTTGTGATTGGCCCATTTCCAAACATGCTTATATCGTGCCGAATTCGAATGTCACATTTGAAATCTCGAGTCTCAGTGTCCACGTGAATTTCTGAAATACTAGTAATTTTTTGCGAATTCAGCGATAGACAAATGAAACAGAGATTGAGAACCTGAATGTGAGCGCTTCTTTTGCATATATTGCTTGGACCCGCCAACCAGTGAGAAACCGTCGGTCGAAGCCATGAAGCCACAGAAAGGAGGTGCGAAGAAGGGCGGCGGGAAACCCAAGAGCAAGCTCGTGGTGACTTTCGACGCAGACAAGCGCAAGTACGGTGCAAGTGTAGCGAGCCTGTCGATAGAACGCTCGTCGCGATGGCCAGGACTGATCATGTGGTGTGTTGGGTAGGGAATACTTGACTGGGTTCCACAAGCGCAAGCAGGATCGACGGCGGTTCGGGCATGACATGGAAGCGTTCAAGAAGAAGAAGGCTCAAATTGAAGCGCGAAAGATCGTACGACAACAATATTTTTCCTCTAGCTTGTCTACCGGAGCATCCTCGTTGTCACAACCATCGTATCGGCACGTCATATGTAGCGCAAAGCAGAACAGAAAGAGCTCCTCGCGTCGCTACCTGAAGTGGCGGATGTAAAACACGCGGCGACCGATGGCGACGCCGAGGTTGTCGACTATGACGACGAGCACACTCAAGGTCCGTGCAGCTTTTTGTCCTCGATGCACCTCCGTCGTAGGACTCGACCTCCTCTTGGCGGACTCGGCGTAGGCAAATTCGGCGACGTGGTGACTGTGACGACGTCGGTTGGTGACTTGAAAAGCGACAGCGAGGACGAACTGGATGACGAGGTCGGCGTCGTATTTCCCTCGCCGTCGATCGGTCGGTGCTGACACCACGACAGGAGAACGACTTGTTGTTGGCGGCGCTGGCAAAGAAAAAGGACCGGGAGAACCAAAAGCAGAAGAACCACTTGACGCTGTTCCAGCGCGTGCAACTCAAGCGCAAGGGCGTCGCGCTCCCGACAAAGCGCTCCAAGATCAAAGCTGCCAAGCAGAATGCGAAACGAAATGGCAAGGCCCACGGCACGGCAGGCATGACCAAGAAGGGACCAAAGAAGGACGGTGTCGACGAAAAGATCGACAAGCGAAAGGGATTCCACAAAGCGCGCAGAGGCAAGCACGCAGCGTAATGGAATGCACCACATCTCGACGTTTGTACGTGTCGTCGGCGCATGAATGGCAGGGAGACGCATTGGTCATGCATTGTTCAGGCAAGAGATCGTTGTGAGATGGTCGATCATGGAGGTGGGTGGTGGAGGAATTCGTGGCTTGCTTTGTGTGCAAACTGCTTGGATACAGCTCGACTCCCTGGACAAGCAGAGGCACGTGGTCCGTGTGGTGAATGGGCCACCACCTTTCGTTGAGCATAGCCTCTTCCGAATATCCTTCGGCCGTCCCTCGCGACCTTTACGAATCGCATCAGGACTACATCGACCCCGTCGCAAAGCGCTTGGAGGCTTGGATGGCCACGAAGTTCTTGGCGCACAGACCGCGCGATGAAGAAATGAACTGTCGTCCGGCCCAACGTGATATCCACTGTCACGTGTGGCTGGATAACGTCTAGGAAAGATAAACCACTTGCAACGCAAAGATGAACCATATCGTGGACATGTTATCGTGGCGCGCCATGCTTTTGCTTGGATAGGAGCGCTACATGGCGGCATATCCCGTGTGCGACGGATCCTCCATGTCGTGGTGGGCCTGGGTGAACATTTCTTCTTCTCGCTTCTTCTGGCGCTTCTTCATGTAGAGCAGGACGCCGGCACACCCGACGACTGCAGCACATCCGGTCACGATGGCAGCGATCGCGCCAGGAGACAGCGCGTCCGACTTTTTGTCAGCCGGATTGTCTCCACTCGCATTGTCGGGCTTGACGGTCGTGGATGGGGAGTTTCCGGACCCGCCAGGATGCATCTCCGGCGCGGATGTCGACGAGAATGGCGTTTCGACGGGTGGAACGGGCGGATACGTGGATGATTCTGGAGAAGTGCCTGAGGAAGCTTTGGGTTCGTAGCTGTCGGACGGGTCGTAGCCGGCCTCGCGCGGCGGCACAAGTCTGTAAGATGTGCAGACGCCGCCAGTGGAAGCGCACGTCGGTTGCGGCATCAATGCGAATTCGTTGCACACGCCGTGGTGATGTCCACTCGCGGACGCCACAAGGCCATAGCCGTGGCATTGGTTCTTCAGAATTTGCTTGGAAGAAGCCGCCATGAACATGCGTGGCATCGACGCGGTCTTGGTTTGCCCCAGCGCAGCGCGGCGCGCGCTACTGAGGGCATTCTTGTGTTGGCCAAGCGCCGCGCGACGGGCTTGCCCGAGCGCGTTCTTTTGCTTGTTCGTCGAGACGGACTCAAGAGGCACGCACAAGAGCAGAAGCGTAAGCAGGAACAGCGACCACTTCATCGTTGGTGGCGGCGGATTCCACAATGCACTCGAAGATCGCAAGGAGCTGCAGCGGTTACGAAAGATCGAACACCATCTTATCCGGATAACCTGACGGTTTCACTGGGCAATAAATAGATGGAAAAATCGTAGAGTACATTTGAATTTATCTGCATATAACTTTGCAGTACCTGGGGTTCCAGAACACTCGATTACTTTGAGATACCATCGAACTACTGCAACCTGCCATTCAGTTCTTTTGATGGCGGTCGAAGGAGATGAGCGCGCGATGCGAGGAGCTCCAGATGTATCAGCTAACTAGACCCGTGCACGTCGGGAATCGCTAAAAGCCACATCGGTGGAGTGCCCTTGTAATACTTTAGAGGACGGCGTGATGTCGGTGAGTGGAGGGCTCCCTGCAGCGACCAGCACACCACGACATACATCTCACCTCACAGTGCTTGGAGGAGATTGCGCTCGTGAAACAGCAAAGACGCTTGCCGCACGTCCACGAAATCATTTGCGCCATATGTGGAAGGTCGTTGCCATCGCAGGTTTGCCTCCGATCTCGGCATGCGAGCAGAGTCCAACGAATGCTCGATCTGGTACATATCGTGAGGGCGCACAGCGTGGCGTCGATCCAACCCCACCTCTTGTTACGTCCTCATGTAGGACTGGACTTGCGCATGGTTCCCTGGACACATTCTCATGGAGTCCACTGTTGTAGGACTGCCCAAGGCACGATTCCATGCGCGCAGGTTTCCGATCCATGTCGCAACGGCGTGCTTTCATCCAGACACGGCGTCGTCGTCAATGGCCACATCTAGTCTCCATCACGCTGTGCTTCTCCGCCGCGCCCATTGTTGTTTGCCGTTTGCAACGGAATCAATACAACAACTTCCGACATTCATGCAGCGCGGGAGGTCCGTTGGTCACACGGGAGCTTGTATCGCTAAAGTTGCCCTCCCCCGTCCCTCGCAGGTGCATTGATACAACCTCCCTTGGCATCCATCGGCCGTCGTCGTGCAAGCAAAACTGCCGCCACGTACCATCTCAGGACATGCCATCGAAACGCAGCACATCCACGCGAGAACCCATCACGGTGCAGGCCTCCTTCCACTGAAGAAACCCACGCGTCGCGGCCCTGGGCAGCTAGACATGGCGCTGGCCGCGACCCATTTGAATGATCTGGCGTCCCCGCCGCTCTGCTTGCACACGTTTTGACTTCGTGTCTCCTTGTTAACTCACTCCTCGTGTTGCCTGGCGCGACAACAGATCTGTCGGCGCCACGGGATCGTTGGACCGACCCGCCTCCCAAGCGCATGGCGCTCCCGTCGACGTCGTCATGTGTACACGATTCAGAATCCAAACAACTTCACGCCGTCATATCATGCCGGCATGCGATCACATCATCCAACTACAACGCGGCGTACGCTGCGTGGCTCGTTTGTGGCGTTTTCGTCACAATGAGCTCGGCGCCGCCGGGGTACATCTTGAGGGATTCACGGTGGTGGTGCTGAATCACGTGCGACGTGAGCTCCATCGCGACCTGCGTCGCACTCGGCCGCGTCGTGTAGTCGAAAGCCAAACACCTCGACGCCATGGCTTGGATAAAGCGGGGAGCTGCCTTTGACAGCGCCGGTCGGAGCTTGCCGTGGGCAATGTTGGTGGCGAGCTTGGACGGCGTCATCGTTGCGACGTCGGGCTGCAGCGACGCGTCCTTGTACGGTTCCTGGAGCGTGTCGAGCTCTGCCAAGAGCACACCAAACGAGTACAAGTCGGCTTGGTGGGTGTATCTTTCGCCGCGGAGGACCTCGGGCGCAATCCACGCCGACGTGCCGACCCGCGCCGTCATGAGCGCATCGGATGAACTCTGTCGCGATACACCAAAGTCGGTCACGTGGGCCACGAACGCGTCGTTCAGGAGGATGTTTTTGCTCTTGAGGTCGCGATGGATGATGCTGTGGGGCGTTTGCCCGTGGAGGTATGCGATCGCGTCGATGACGTTGGACGCGATGCTGAGTTTCGTGCAGTGGCTGCCGTCGCTCGCCGCTTGCCACGAAAACATGGCCGACCGCTTTGCCACCGGCTTCTTGAACTCGCTACGAAGGAATCGGTACAAGTCTCCGTGCGCCATGTACTCGGTCAGCATCGAAATGTCCTATGCAAGTGCTCAGCGCTCGGCGCGAGTTCCAGCCGCACCTGCAAGTTGGACCAAGTGAACCCAATAAACGGCACAATGTTTGGGTGTGCCAGGGTCGACGCGAGCCGAATTTCGTGCATGAATTGCTCGATGATGTCGATGTCTTGCGCCCGCGACGGCAAGAGCTGCTTCATTGCAACGTGAACTTTGCCTCGTTCGGGTGTATCGAGCCTCGCGCTGTACACCATTCCGTACCCTCCTACATGCATCCCAACGCGCAGCGGTGAGAGACGTTCGTGGCCTTGGATAACAATGGTCGGTGGCATGCCGCCCCTGGCTACCTTTGGAGCGAAGCGTGATGTGGGAGAGCTTGTTTTGGGGGTGCCAGAACTCGGCCATAGCCGAGTCGTATCGAATGTCGTTGGGGACTGTTGCGGGGTAGTTGGTCAGGCTCTGCTGCTTCGGGTGGCCGCCGTATTTCCTAGCGACGACGTTTGAAAACGCGGCAAGGACACGCAAGACCCTACCGACACGTTGTCGTCTGCAACTCGTTCGTGAGCCGGTGCTGGCGTTTCAGGATAAACAAAACAAGGACGAGGACAAGCACGCCGCCGGCAAGCCCGGAGATGAGAAATGGAGAGATCGACGTCGATGCACCGTCGTCGACTGCGGCGACATAGACATCGTCAGCATGCGGACATAATGTGGACGTCCTACCGTCGGTCGCGCTGCTACGGACGATGACTTCGCACTGACGCATGTCGCTCTCGACGGCGGCTCTGAAAGACGACGGTGCAGTCGTCGTGTTTAGCTGACACGCCCCCACGACAGTCGGAACGAGGCGGAGATAACGCTGGCAGCCCTGGCACGACCCTGCAGACGACTTGCCCGTGGTTTGGCACACTACGAGCGCTGATTGCATCTGTCGATACAAGTCGGTGCATTCTGCACTGCAAAATGCCATCCTGATGGGTTCGCGCGTTCCCGTGGCCCCACCGACGTGAATCTACCACGAAAAAGACGACGATGAAACCGAGGCACGTCGATTTGTGGGCGAACGTATACCGTGGGCAGCTCTGTAGCAATTTCGCGGCAAGGAATGAGAGCTTCCGCGAGGCTCAGTGCGTCGCGGCACGACGTTTCCGCGCAGAATCCCGTCGGGTCCGTGTTTCGCGAGGTGGTCATCGCCAGACACTTGGAGCGCTGGAAAACGTACGCAGATTGAGACGCGTCGTCACAGAGTGGGTCCGCTTGAGCGCAATACAGCACGACCGCCGCCAGCGCGACCGCAGACCCGACCAGGGCCTTCATCGAGTCGTAATGGTCGCTGCCGACAAGTCGCACAACGTACGCACGCAATCCTTGTCAAACCAGGACGTGGCCTCGAAGCGTCCCAAAATACCTCGATTCGACGAATATTTCGGCCATTTCGGTCGAATTTTAAGCAAAGTGAACGAATTCAGGACGAATCTTGCTTGCGACGCCGGCGATCGGTATAGATGGGGCATGGAGTTTCAATACAAAATTCAAGTGTAAACGGAAGGGTTTCAACTCGCGCTCCACGTTGGCGAAAATTAGCGATGCGGTGTCGCTGGGGCAGCGGCATCCATCGTCGCGCGCCGTCCGTTCGCGGATCGCGAGTGTCTGTGGCAGCACAGTATGCGCTGTAGCCTCCTAGCCGGCGTAGTATTTGCAATTGGCGCAGTCGAACGGAACACAAGGCATGCCTGTCCCACGACGACCTGTGCTGACTCGTCGTGCCACTTGTGCATGTCACGAGAGGCAGTTCTCCTCCATGTCATACCAAATGCAGCACACACACCACACTGGATGCGCAAAGTGCAGTGTGGCCTTCGCCGTGCGGTCGAAGTCGCCCCCCTCCTCAAACCAACGCAACACAGACACGTCATGTTGGTCCCCATCCTCGAATCTACTTAGAGGTTCTTTGCGATCGTGTGGATCTTGTACGATAGCGACATGGCGGTGGGGCGGTCCGCTTCGTTGTACGCCAGACATTCGAGCGCCAGGTGGAGCAGTTGGTCCGGCATGCGGTTCGTAAAGTCAGGCTTGAGTGTGCCTTCCGACACCATGAGCGCAATGCGCGCGTTTGAGAAGGACGCGTCCTTGGACTTGTTCATCATGTTCGAGTACGGCGACTCGCACGTGTCGAGCTCGCTGAGGAGGACTCCAAAGCTGTAGATGTCGGCTTTTTCCGTGTACCGGCCGCCCGAGAGCACTTCTGGCGCGATCCATGCGACGGTCCCGATGTTGCTAGTCATGGTTTCTTCCAAGCTCGTGACGCGGGAAATGCCAAAGTCGCTCAGCTTGGCTTCCCACGAGTCACTCAACAGGACGTTCTTCGACTTCAAGTCGCGATGGATGATCGTGGGCTGGAACGAATGCAAGTACACAAGGGCGTCAGCGACGTCGGCGGCAATCTGCACCTTCGTTGTCGGGCTGTTGGACGTGCGGTGCCATTGCAAAACCCGATGCGTTTCGTTCTTCTTGGATTCTTTCTTGAGGACGGCGCCGACGTCGCCGCGCGGCATGAATTCGCTGAGGACGGCCAAGTCGTGGAGCGTCGACCACGAGATTCCGATGAACTTGACGATCTTTGGATGCTCCAACCGAGCGCAGAGGCGGATTTCATTCATAAAGTCTTGAATCGCGTCAATGTCTTTCGACTTGGACGGCAGGAGCTGCTTCATCGCGACGTCGTCCTTGCCAAACGTGGCATGGAACACGACGCCGTACCCGCCCTTGACGAGCAAACTCACGTTTTGAATCTCGTTTTGCGGGATGCGGAATTGCGCGAGCTCTTCGTCGAACCGAATGTCGTTCGCGATGCGGCCGACCTCGGGCCCGGTGTACTTGTTGTCGTTGTTTCCAAAGTCCTGGGCTTGCAACGTGTCGTTGTTGATGTAGTCGAAATTGCGCTTGGCGATGTCGTTCTTGAGCTTGAGCTTGTAGATGACTGCGCCGAGGATGATGAGGACGGCGACAGCGATCCCGATCACGACAAACAAGGTCGAGTTCCCGCCGGTTTCGGACGCCGCGGTCGCTCGACTGTCTTGGGTCTTGTCCGTCTTTAACGAGTCGCACTGGGCAAACGAATTGACAAGCGACTCGTCCTTCAACACGTAGTCGAACGCGGCCACTTCGTACCCGCACACCGTCATCAGCGACGTGCGGAACGCCGTTTCGTTCAACGTGCGGCATGGCTGGCAACTCGCCGACGTCCCGAGCTTCTTGGGGTCTTCGGCGCAACTCTGAAACAACGCGGTAAACTGGGTCACGAGCTTGGTGCACTTGTCGTCTGCGTCACACATCTTGGGAAACGTGTACTTAATATCGGATAGCTTTTGCTTGCCGCACCCGGACTCGACAGCGATCTTTCCCATTTTGTGGATGTTGTTGCACGCTTCGATCGTGCAAAAGACCGTGGGGTTGTTGATCTTGCATTTGGTGTTCGACTGGGTCGCCGCCACCACGGCACTGTTCAAGTTGGACAACGTTTCATTGCACGCGGCAGTGACCGGTGCTACCGTTGTCGTCGAAACCTGGGCCGTCACGGCCGCCATCGCCATCGCCAGCAGCACCAGCATGGTTTTCATCGCCTTGGTTGAGTTGTTCTGGTCAATTACAAATTTTTCTGCCCATCCGGATAAAATGCCCTTCGAACTTCGTGTTCGCACGATTGTAAAACCCCCCGACGCCGTGGCGTTTTATGGCGAAACAGGGTAAATTGGTGCTTTTTGCCAAATTTTGGACGGAAAACTGTGCAACGATTGTGTCGTTAAATTGTTTTGCCCAAAACCAAGACGTTAAACGTGGCATGCCCAGTTGAAACATCGCAACACGTTCGGCTGACACATCGACGGCCAAGAGCGTGTCCATGGCGTCTTCAAACAAACCTGGGCAAGCATTGCGTCCGAGACATTGTGTCTCGATCGCAATGGTTACATGCTGCGCCTACTCTACGTTGTGGCAACGTGGCGTTGGTCGACAACCGGCACAGAGCCAGACCCTAATGGCCGTTAAACTTCGATGTCGCCAACCGTATCCGGATGCCAGCCCCTCCATCCGTACACGGTAAAGAATTAAGTTAGGTCGAAACATATACACTAGTCGCCGACGATGAACGACCGCAGGCGAAATGACAGCTCAATGGCCGTCGGTCGGTTTTGCGGGGCGTGGGAGAGACACTCCCGCGCCAGCACGAGCAGTTCGTGCGGAATGAAGTTGGTGAACGTCGGCGCGAGCTTCCCTTCCGCGACACTCATTGCAATGAACGCGTTGCTCAGGTTCTTGGCCTTCGCCTTGACCTTGGGATGGTGTAGGTCGTTTGAGAGTTCGCTGTGGTGCTCTTCAATGTAGTCTCGCGTGAGATCGGTGTACGGAGGTTGAAGCGAGTCCAGTTCGCTCAGGAGTACGCCGAAGCTGTAAATGTCTGCTTGTTCAGTGTACCTGCCGCCAGTTAGCACCTCGGGCGCAATCCACGCAATCGTCCCGACGTTCATTGTCATCAAGTCGTCTTGGCTCGTCACGCGGCTGTACCCAAAGTCATTCAGGCGGGCATTCCACGTCCGGCTGAGCAAAATGTTCTTGGACTTGAGGTCGCGGTGGATGACCTGCACCTCAAGTTAGCCACACGCGGCACATACGCGAAGAAGGATGGACAAGACATGCGGCCAACCTACCGTCGGCTGGAATGAGTGAAGATACGCCAAGGCGTCGGCGACTTCAGCTGCGAGGCTGGCCTTCGATGTGCCTTGTTCAATCATTTCCCGCCGCATGCGGTGGCGACTCGACGAATGGCCGCCGTTGCTGAATGTGGTGCGTATGCTGGAGGCAGGGGTTGCCAGAGGATTCTGTTGTCCAGGACATCACCATGAGGACGCGAACGAGCCATCACAAGACACAAGTTCTGCCACAGAATATCACCGCAGGCTGTTGCGCCACAGGTTGAAAAGCGTCATCATGGAGTCTCTCTCATTCAGCCAGCGGCGGCATTCCTAAAGCAAACAAGCATGTTGCCACGTACCGGTGCATCCCAAGTCGGTCGCAGACGTCGGTCGGCGGCAGGAGTCTTCTTCTCGTACTTGAGGAAGCCCATCAGATCCCCTAGGTTGAATACATTTTGCATGTGACCTCGTCCAGTTCCAACAAAGCCAAACCAGGTGCACCGGTTGTTCCAGGGCTCCCCCACAACGCCATGGATTATTCCCCAAATACACGCGTGCAGCATTGTAGCCACAGCCATATTGTGATGCACATGATCGAGCTTACCGTTCGGCATGAATTCCGTGAGGAGCGAGAGATCGGCCAAGCTGGAGCCTTCGGTCCATGCTAACCCGACGAACCCGACAATGTTGGGATGCTCCAACGTGGCGGCGAGGCGGATTTCTCGCATGAAGTCCGATACGATCAGCAGCGATCCACATTGCGATGGCAGGAGCTGCTTGACTGCAATGACCACGTTGTTGAAGACAGCCTGAAACACGACGGTGCCTGACCCTTTTGCGACCTGTCAAACATGAAGTTGTTAACTTGCATCACATGGTACATGAATGCACGCACGAAGCGAAGGTTGTGTAGTTCGTGGTGTGGGATGCGGGTGTGGGCGAAATTCGGGTCGAATCGAACGTCGTGCGCGAGCTGGACGTGACCAAGCCCGACGCTCACTCCAGTCTCGCCGTCATGAGTCGAGTGGTACGACGATTGCTTGCTTCGTTCCATGACGGCACGGGTTGCTTGGATGCGACGTACCTCACGGCGCAAATCATGGTGCCGTTTGTGCAACCGAGCGTTCATCCGGCAGGCAAGGTACAAGAGTAAGACCACCATCAACGTGCTCACACTCGCGATCAGTGCGATCGTTGTAGTACTCATCTCGTCACTATCGTCGGCGGCATACGATCCAAGATGCCGCAGCCGTCGGCCACGCGCGTCGTCCCGTGCTTCCATCCACCACGCAGCCCGTTGCATGACGAATGTCGCTGCACCAAAAGGACCCAGCGCTCTCCCGTTACTTCCCGATCATCCGGATAATCCATTTCACAAATTCGCCAATTACTAGAAACCATTTAAACAGGAAGAGAAGGATACCCAATATCCTTGAATAACCGAGTCAGCCACAGTAATGCCTAGTTCCGAGTCATGCGAGATAGACCGCCGTCGAGCCATGGTCATGCACGGTTGACGATCACATCCGCGCCAAATCCTTGCTTCGTCCTGCGCAATTGCATTATGACAATATTTACAAAGTGATAGCGATTATTTGGACAATCTCCTCCCATCTGTTATCCGGATAACCGACACGCTACAAACGCTCATGAATTGTAGTACACTATTAAGTATTTAGGGTAACCACCTGCTACCTCAGTTGAAAATGCACCCAGATCAGCTCAAACAGCGGTGGAGACCTTCCCGAGCTGCAGTACTGTAGCTGCGCTTGAGCCTGATAGGTATCCTTGCCGGAATTTGTACGGTGGTGGCCGTCCAATGCACCCTCCCGAATTCATCTTCATTTGGGTGTTTCGTGCGACTGGTCCTAGGAAACTTTGGTGAAATTGAAGAAATTGGACGAAAATTCATATATATTTCCTGGGTTTTGAATCCTCGCGTTAAACCAATCAGCACGCAGCGTTAGCTGGTGGCCACAACGAGCCATTTTCAAATTCGCCTCGAGGGTTCCGTACCGCCCGCGCATGGTCGTGCCATGGCGCCATGAATGGCACACCCACACCACGATGATACAAAAATGATATAATGAGCCTGAATCACCTATGTAGATCGATTCTTGCTGAGTGGTTTTGATGCATGTGTTGCGTGTATGGAACGTAGAGCTGAAGCTAGATTAGAGGAACTCGGAGTGCAGGCCGCCATCGGTGCGACTGGCCATTCTCTTGCTGGCAGTCACTTCAAGTCTCCGTGCCGCCATGCTCGATGAATTTTGTGCCTTGTGTACAGCTCGACGGGCCGCTGAAAGGCTTATTCGAGCTGGCAGGATCGAACTAAGTAGAGATGGTATTATTCAAGGGCGATGCATATTTGCTGACAGTTGTAAATTACATATCATTCCATATCCGCGACATGTTCTCGGTCGATCTGTTCCTGTGCTTCCATCATCGCTTGGAGTTGTGCCAGCGACGCAGCTTCTTCGGACACGATGCCCGAGCTCACAGCCCCGTTTGCTTCGTAGAACGCGACGAGCTCCTCGTTTTCGTCATCCATCGCAGAGTCGAGGGGCTGTAGACATCCATGGGATACATTTCAACAGTGCGACGGCAAACGTACCGTGCGCATGTCAGCATTCTTCGCATTGATGTCGGCACCGTGGCGAAGCAGAATCTTGGCAATCTCGACGCTTTCGCAAAAGTGCAGTGGCGTTTCATTGTCAAAGTCACCGAGCGTCGCGGATGCGCCAGCTCCCAACAACACCTGCACCAATTCCGGGTGGTTGTAACTCACGGCAGCTTGCCTGGGTTGGCCCGCGGTCAGGACAATCAGAGCCTAATGACATCACGTACAAGGGAGTGTAGCCATTCTCGTCCTGCGCGTTTACGGTCGTTCCGCTCTGGAGGTATGCTGTGACCGCTTCGATGTTGCCGTCGCTGGCGGCGATCCAAATGTTGGCCATGGCGATATTTCAAAACGATGGTGGCGGTGAACTAGGCACTGCGAACAGAGGTCAAATCCAACTGAAAATTTCATCGAAATATTGTCGAAAATCGACGATTTTTCGGTGTTTCACGTTTTTTGTTGCTTCCAAAATTAGAAATTTTCTCCAAACTTTCGACCAATTTCTGCGTATTTTCACCATGCCCACGATATGCTTTCTCGGTGGCATCTCCGCATGGTGCGACGGACCTTTGACCGTCCGCTTGAACGAATGCAGCGCCAAAGGGGAGGGAGGGCAATGGCCATGCTTGCGTCGTGCTGGGATGCGTGGAAACCAGTCACTCTGGTGAAACGGAAACCCTCCAAAGATAGCCGACGCCGTGGTGCCAATCTGCAAAGCGCACCCTGCACACAACGGCCATGACGACAAGTGTCCCTGTGATGGTCATCGTGACGTTGTTGGCGTTCGTTGGTGCCGACTTGCCCCCAGCATGTAACATCTCTGCGTTCATTCAAACGTTTGCGCCGTTGATGTCGAGCGCGGCGCTGTGCCAAACTGCCACCAACGTGTCGTTCATGCCACCGACGGCGCCCCTCACGAATGCCAATGCAGCGGCCATCTGCGCAGCATCAGAATGCAAACCATTGATCCCCGTGATCAACCAAATCCCGTCCTGCTCCATCGGTCCCATCGACATGGGCGCCTTCGCCAGTGCCGTGGGGGGCGTATGCGGCAACGGTACACGAATGCCAACGACGCCATCGCCCAAGTCTACCGCCTCCTCTCTGGCGCCAGAAGCGTCGATGTTCCTTGCGGCGAATGCAGCGCTCTGGCTAGGCATGGTTTGACGTGGTCGGGTACCACACGACCACGTCAAAAGCGTCACCCTGCACACGGCGGCTGCAGCGGGACCTTCCCAACCAAACCCTTTATCAAAGCTTCATCTAGCACAGATCTACTTGACGAGAAATCGTAGCTGCATCGACCAGCTCCGTGTGTGTGTGTTTTTCTTCCATCGTCTCGAAGCAAAATAGCCCGCGCTTGCCACGAATTCAACAAGGATGCATGGCCACTTGGGCCATTCTCTTTCCACACACAAAGGTTCGAAACATGCACACGGGACAGCTCCACTTCGCACGACGGCCCCGCGCCACGGAATCCGTTGTTGGCATGGTCGCCCACCCCCGACTGTCGTACGCCCCGTGCGCGCTACTTCGAAGCGGGCAGCAGACGGGTTATCGTGGTCGCGACAAGATTTCGGAGCTCGGCCGAGGCAAATTCGAGGCTGACCGGTTTGACTTCGTCGACGACTTGGAGGACCAAGTACGTGCCGATCGCGGTGGCGAGTCCTGTCCTGGCCAGGGCGGGAGTCATCACGTCCGTTGCCATGGCCGCAATCGACGCCAGCGGCAGCACTACACGGACTCGAATCATGTGGCGACCTCCCATCCATCCATTCAAACACAAGACAACAACATCGCGGCGCCGTCCAGTCGCATCCAGGCGAAACACGCGGGTTACCTTTGGCATGTTTGCGGTCGTTTCTCTTGGCCAAACATAGCGCTGCCGACGAATTCGACTTGTCGGTACCATTCCCGGGGCGCTCGTGCAGCCACAGCACGCGCCACGACGGGTCGCCTTGACGTACGTTGTGCTTGAGTACGGTCATGCCTTGCTGAAGTACCATGCGCATCGCATCAAATTGAACGGTCGAGATCGTCGCGGGGGTCGCGTCGATGACTTTGGGCTGCATGTCGCGCACCTATCACGTCCGGTTGAATAATCGGCCCGCGGATCGTTCGTTCGTGCGTTCGTTGATCACATGGATCCAAATTCCCATCACGACGATCGCGCGATCGTTGAAACCTTTCAAAGGAACAGCTTCCAACGCACCATGAGCCGCAACGACGCGCAGTCGGCAGGGTCGATGTGGTACGTGGACGGCGAGGCCACCACTTGGCGGATCAGCACGCGAAACATGGCGAGTTGCCGTTCGAGCTCGTGGATCTCGTACTCGAATCGCTGCACCTTGTACCGACTGGCCAAGTGCGGCTTATCCTACCACGATCGGGGTCGAACGATGGAACGGACGTGGCGACGAATTACGTAAAAAGGGCGGGCGTCCACTTTGAGCTGCCGGTGCACGACGCGCCCGATTCTGTCGAGTTGCTGCAGGACCCACGGAACATCGCGGTCCATTTTGACAAGGGCCGTCGAGTTTCCAGACTTGATCTCGGTCGGGAGGCCTTTGCCCCCGACGACGTGCAAAGCCGACCCCGGCACCACCACTTCCAGCACGTTGAACGGTCCGTCGCCGGGCTCGTTTCGGTCTGGGTTCCCGCCGCCAGCACCATTGTCCTAACACACAGAGTTGAGCCTGGACTGGCGACAAAGGATATGTCCTACAGGGCTGTCCATCGAGGGCTGCGCGGCTGCGCCGGCAAGAGCAAGATGCAGCGCACCCAGTTCAATCTACCACAACCGCCGTGTCGAGTGAGTGCCATGGACATTGGATGCTGGCCACAATAGAAAGGGCTACGAGCAACCCGTATGTGCCGAGTTCGTACATGCGCGTGAAACTCGGTACTGCGGTCTCTGCCTTTGCCCGTTGGCGTCGTGGCTAGTTTCGCCGGCGGCGGCGCTGTGGCACTAGAACGCTCTGACGTCCACTTCCACGTCCCCAAGAACCGGGGACTCGTCATGCCACTGCTTGTAGTCGATCGAGACGCCGTTCTGTCGGCATCCTTGCAAGTTGACATGGGCAGTTGCGCACTATCGGGCGGACGCGCGGCGGCGTCGTCGTCGGTCGCATCGTCTTCGCCGCCGCGAGTATACTTCATCATGGCTTGATAGACCGGCGCGGCAAACAGCGACGACAGCACGGTTAATTCAGGAACTTTGTTCACGACAAACATGACGTGGCGGAGGAGCACGGGAATGTCCACAGTCACTTGGACGTCCTGCGTCGATATTTTCGACTTGACGGGCTGGTGGGTGTCGAGCACTTGCTCGAACGAGGCAAAGGGGGACCCGGAGTCGTCGGCGTCGTCGGCGGGAACATGTCGTGGAGCTTGGAAAAACCTCGTCGTCGTCTTGCGCTCCCATCCGTCGCTGACTGCGTGATGCATGTCCAAGCGCCCGATCACCATCGCATGTTTGAGGTGCGACGGTACAAACTTGAGCCGGTACTGCATCGCGCGCAGCTCGATCGCGAGCAGGTCGTGGCGGGCAGACGCAACCTTCCCCAACAAAATGGACGATGCGGACGGCTGCTTGGCTGTTGTGCCCCTGGATGGCAACACAAACGTGACGTCGAGCTTGGCCAGCGTCGCTTCCATGGTCAGGCTTTGCAATGTCGGCTGGACCTTGTCCATGTACCTGAGCCAGTTGCCGACCAAGTGAGAGGCAATTGCGCGGGAGCCAAAGCGTACCAAGAGTATGTCGAGTGCGGTTTCGAGGCGAATACGCCAGGGTACACCGCCTGCATCATGGCTGTGGACGATGCAAACGTGGGCTCGGTTGTTTGCGCGTCCGTGGCGGCACCTTTCGCCTTGGGCGTCGTCGCCGCCGCGTCCGGCACAAACACGCTCAAGAAATGCAGCTGCATGCGATGGGCCTTCATGTCGGCAGATTCGACCACGACGGCTTGATCCGAGTGGCTGCCACACCACACGTTTGGGTCATGCGATCGCATGGATAGCTGTACCTCGTCGACGTCAGCGCTGCCATGGGGATGCGGAACTTGCCGACAAACTGGTTGAACATGGGCCACCGGTCAAACAAGTTGACGTGGAGAAAATCTTCATTTGGACCTCCCTCGACGCGGAATTCGTACGATTGAGCAAAAAGGACGGCCAATGACGAGCGCTCCCCGGCGCCACGAGGCGGTGGCTCGCAGTGCACGAGCTCGCCCGTGTACGGCGTACCTTTGTGCCCAACCTACACATAACAAAGGGCAGTTGAAGACGTCGACGTTTGGTTGCCACCGCTGTCGAACTGGCAACGTCGACGCGCGTACCTTGACTTTGCAAAAGAGCACCATCGGCTTTGGAATGCCGTGGCCCTCCATCAACGTCAACGTCAAAGTGCCCTTGGACGTGTTGTGCAATTTGGTCGAGACCGCCGCCTTGTGCTCCTTGCGGTCCATCTGCCGCACGGCCAGGGCCCGCAGCTTGGCGACGATCACAGGACGGAAGCTCGCATCAATGCAAAGCTGACGGTGCCACAACGCTTTGGCGTCTGCGACTTCCGAGTCGACTGCCACCGGCTCCGCTTGGCGGGTTGCCGCCGCCGCAGCGTCGTCGGCCTGCGTGCGTTCCCAGCTCGTTCAGTTGAAAATCGTTGACGGAAACGGATTCATGTACCGTGCAAGTGGCAGATGGCTTTGTCGCGGGGCCATGCGCGTGACGAACAAAGCACCGGGACAGACCGTATACGCCCGCAAAAATGCCGTCGCCAAAATGCGTCACATGCTTGGGGATGAACGCTACCACGTCCGTCGTTAGCCAGGTGGAAGAAAATTCCACCGGGCAAGCGCTTCTGCACCTGATGCAAACGTGAGGGATCGATCGACCGGAGACTTGGAATCGCTCTCGTTGCCTTTGAAATCCTCGCGGTACTGCAAAAAGTGGTGGTCCCTACGCGATGGTTAGCCTCACCATGCCCAAGGGTTGAACACAGAGCTACGGCAACGCGGCAACTTCAACACTCGAGACCACCAAGTTCCATCCTGACAGGACAAGCACACGACATCCCGAATCCAACGTACGCAGTGCCCGTGGTTTGTCGGATCAAGTATGGGGCTACCGCTCGGCGCAGCGCGGTGTACTGCAGCCCGACGAGCACGAGGTTGAGCGTCGATCTCCACGTGGGTTTGCGGCGCACGGGGTCGTTCAGGTCCATCATCACGGCCACGATCGCATACCGCCACCAGTCCTTCCAGTTCGTGCGCTTCCCTTCCACCTTCGACAACGGGTCGGTGGCCATGACGGGGCGGAACCGGCGGTACAGGCTGAATCGATCGAACCGGTCCACATGCGTCAGGAATGCATCCAAAAACTGATAGTGCGCCGGCGCAATGTTGATGTGGACGATGGGCACGTGGATTTTGAAGGCCAACTGAACCACGGGCAGTAGTGTCATCTGGACTTGGACGTCCACGGACAAGGGCTCAAGCAGCGGCAGGTGTGCCTTGGTGGCGGCGGGGACAGAAGGAGCGTCGAAAGGCGTGCGAAACGCGGCTGCTCGATCGTTCGGGGCCATGTCTTCAAAAAGGGAGTCGGACTTCAAGTATACGGTCAAGGCCTTGAGCGACAAAACTTTGTCGGAGGCGGGTATGGCGGTCGCAGTCGACGGCGTCGATGGATACACAATCAGGCTCTCCAGAGTCACGCCTAACGCGTAGGACGGCGCCGCAGTCGCCTCGACGTCCACGAGGGTGTCGCCGGCTAGCCCGTCTTCAAATCGAACGTGGATGCGCTCAATCGTAATGTGGCTATTTTGAATGAGCGCGGCAATCGACGGTGTGATCTGGCCGTGATTGCCCTTGGGGGGTTTGTTGATGTGGCGGTGGTGGCTTATCGGCGACGTTGACGGGTCGGACGAGAACAGGTCCAGCAGGAGCGTCATGAGAAAGATCTTGCTCTGTTCTGCCACATACAGCGAATCGACGTCCCACTTGGGGTCCCGCGGGGTGCCCAAAAGGACGTTTACGTCACTCAGTTCAATCTACAAAGACGGCGTTCATTGTCACTACGACGAGAGATTGCTCCTCTCGACCTCGGGCGACTGCGTCGTGAGATGGACGAGAGGCACGCGCAACCGCAACTTGCCGACACAAAAGCTCTTGAGCTCCACCGGGAGCTGGAGCTGCTTGATCTCATCGGTGTTCAGCTCGAACTGCGTCAGCACGACTTCGCCGGACAAGCTCAGCGACAAGTTCTACAACGAGCGCGTTTCAAGCACCGTGGACGGCTAGGCGACCGAACCTCCTTTTTGAAATCTTTGATAAATCGCCGACAAAACTTGTTGACCAAGTTGGCCGCAATGCTCTCGAGGAACATGGCACGAACAGCGCGGCGGAATCCAACGGCGACGGGACCAAATGTGGTGTTCACACTGGAACAAGTGACTGTTCGCGGATGTGACAAACCGGCCAATCACACAGCACGGATCGTTGGTTCGTTGAACGAAGCGACGACCTATCGATGTTGGGATTCGGGCATGGTAGCGCAGCTAACTAGGTCGTTGTATAGTCGCCGTGGTGAATGGCTGGACTGGATGCAGCTGGGTGGACCCACGGTGCGAGAAGGCATCGTCGAAACAGCCCCTGTTTGAATCGAACCAAGAGGTACAGCGTTTCTGCTAGACAGGATGGCAGGCGCTATGTCCGCATGCTGCATTCTCCTTGCCAACACCGCTGGGGAAGCCATCGGCGCAGGCAATGACCGCTGCCTCACATTGCATTCCCGCTCCCGGGAGAAAAGAGCGAAGGAACGACGCGTTTGGCAATGTAACCACAGCCATTAACACCCGATTTGACCAGGGAAACACATTCCAACTCAAGTGTGGCGGTAGTGGAGGTCACATGCATTGTAGTACTTCTTGGGATGGGAGCGGCAATCGTGGTGTCAAGTATGTCGCCGTCGTCCTCCAGATGCAGAGCTTCCGCGCATATCTTCCCCAGGACTCTGGCGATACCATACAAGAATCGTACAGTACGGAGGGTTTGCACCGGCATGTACGGTTGAGATCGATGGCGACTGCGGTGACCGCGTCTACACATGAGGCTGGTTGGATGTCGTGGAAGCTTGGTCGAACCAAGCTAGATTCGCTCATGAAACTAGAGTCGGAAGGTGACGAGGCGCTGAATAACGCTGCCAAAGCGCTGGAATTCGTTGGTCGTTTGCTTGGTTGGGACTTGGCTACACCGACAAACTCTTGCCTTCAGGCTACTAGCTCGTATACGACATGGCACTTCTGAACAAGCGGTGCGTGGTGTGTTCCGGCTCGCGAAGCATCCGGCAATCATGACTGACATTCGTTCGCGACCTTTGGCACGATCGACGGGGAGGGGCATGGCCTAGACATGGAAGCGAGCGGCAAAAGGACATTCCCTTACATTCGTCTTGCGAGGGCATTCACCAAAGATATCCCACAAGATTGCGTGCACGATACGAAGAAGAAAGGAGTGCGCCGATGGCACGACCGGATTTCCTTTCTCTCTTGCGGTAGCGACTGTTTGTGTCGGATGGGGGGAGCGGCGGTGTTCACTTGGTGTACGATCGAAGGTATGCCGTACCCTCGACGACGGACGATGTGTGTGCGGACAGCCAAATTGGGACAGGGCTCATCACCAGGCGACGAATCTCGGTGCTCGTCGTTGTCGAAAGGTCCGCCCCGTGGCGGATCGAGTAGCATCCACAGCCATCGCCCCCTCTTGAGAGGGTGATATCTCGGTTGCGTCGTTCTTTCCACCATCCTCCTCCCTTTCGCGTGCAAGTCGTTCCGATGGTGTCCCTCAACTCGTCGAAAGCTGTTCAATGGGGGACGGAATATGGTTGGACGTGTGCCATCGATTCCAACGCACCTCCCCCCCACCACGCGTGTGAATGCGACAACGGAATGCCCCCTCGTTGCGGGATGTCGTAAATAGAACTTGCACCTTGGTAACATGTGCCAGGATAGCAAACTTCAACTTTCGTCTCGATATCGCGGGCACGTTCCACACCGGCTGGACCGTTCCCGTCATGAGGACAGTGATCCGTTCGGCAGGCATGGATACGCTCTTTCGACAGCCTGTGAAGCGATCATCCTGGAGATGAGGATCCCTGGCTTCACAGTCCCGATTCACTGCCGTTGGGGTCGGCGGCCGCTCTCGACCATTGAATTTTCGTCCACCTCAAGCGTACCGGCATCATCGCGTGCCAGGTCGACTTCCTTGACCAATCACGTTGCACGAAGCATCGGATTCGCCATCATCGAACCAATCAAACGTGGTCATGTGCGATCTTCCAACTTGAAAAGGCACGATCGAGTGGGAAGTGGCGTCAGGACGCCGGGGATGGCACGGGGCGTAGCCCGACGCAGGTTCGACACGATCGATCGATCGCTAGTTGCACCGGTCATCTGTCTTTCGAATACCTTGGTCGTGTCGAATCCACCAAGCAACACAGAACGAAGGCGCTCAAGCTCCCCCACCACGCTAGCAACTTTCGAACCAACTATAACGTCAGTGGACTCGATCACAATTGGATGTATCACGAGAGTGGTCTCTGGACGGAATGTGTCTTGACATTTTCTGCTGCGCAAGAGTTCCATGCAGACAGTGGGGCGTCGCTGCAGCAGACGGAGGTCTCAAGACTGCCCCGCCGCTCCCATCCAACGTTGCCGCCACCACGGTTCCGTGCATTTGTCGAGTGGGCGACTTGGCCTGTGCAGGGTGTCGAGGGTGGTCAGAGTATCAGCTGAACTGGTGCCGGGCGAACAACAACGAATCGTTGAAGGTTGGCCCCACGCGCCGCGCCAATCAGGCAGCGCCGGTCGTGAGATTGGCTGGCGTTGGGCAAATCCGCGGTGGCACTGCACGATCTTTGGATCGAATGGATGTTCCACGCCGGGGTGGGTGAAGGGGCATGGTCGTCCTCGGTTCATGAATCCGACGGCGCCAGGGCGTTCACAATTCAATTTGCACCATGGCTGCCGAGTACAGCCTCCAACGCACGCCCAAGAACGCGGACTCGGACGTGTTGGCGACCTCTTCGCCCCTCGTCTCCAATACGGGCTTCTCGTGGTTCAATCACAGCGCGTGGTGCCTCACAGCGGCAGCGCAGCTCACGGCGATCGCTTTTGCGACCATGTACTACACCCCCGTCTACCGCGATGACATCAAGGTCGCGATGAACGGATGGTGGGGCGCCGACCCGAACGGCCCTCGAGATGTGTGGAACCTCCTCAAACTCGACCCCCCTGGAAGTGGCCATGCCGAGATGGTCAACATGACGTACGTCCTGTTCCTGTGCGCCGGACCGTTTTTCGTTGGCGTGATCGCGTACACGCTCGGGGGCCAGCTCGTGACGGCTCCCTCGCGCGTCGGCCATGCCATTTTCCGCACCCTCCGTCGCAAACCGACGTGGGTCTCGCTCAGCTACGGCGAGATGCTCTTCGTTCTGCTCTTGACCCTCGGCAATGCCATCGTGCTTGGGTGGTACATGAAGGGCAAGTGGGATGGTCTGGTCAAGAAGGGCCTGCACACAAATGACAGCTACGTCCTTGAGGCGCTCGCAATCACCCTCGCGATGAACGCCCGCTACACGATGGTAACGCACTGCGCATGGATACGATGGACGTGCTGACAGGTTGTGCGTGGACGCTAGATGTTCATGGCGCTGCCCGTGACCCGCCACTGCTACTGGATGGACATGCTCAACATGTCGTATGCGCATGGGGTCAAATACCACATGTGGATGGGTGTGCTGAGCCTCGTATTTATCGTGGGCCACAGCATCGGGTTCATCGTGGTGCACGTGATGCGGGACGAACTGCACGACATGGTGCTGTGTTTCGACTGCGATCTGGGCAAGGAAGGGCTGATGCCGTGGATCAACTTCTTCGGGATCCTCGCCACGTCCAGCTTCATCGTGCTCGGGATCACGTCGATTCCGTTTGTCCGGCGCCACTACTACCAAGTGTTCAAGTACACCCACTACTTGTTCATCCCGGCGGTGGTGTTTTCGATCGTACACTACTACAACAACATCCTCTGGTTTTACCCCGCCATCACGCTCTACATCGTGAACCGCATCATATCGCAGGCCCATTCAAACGTCCCGACCGAAGTCGTCGACGTTGCAGCGCTCCCGAACCGAGTCGTCCGCCTCGTCCTGCGCCGGTCCACGGCCGCCAACGGTCAGTTCACCCCCGGCGCGTTTGCCTACCTCCGCGTCCCGGCCATCTCGACCGTCCAGTGGCACCCGTTCAGTATCTCGTCGTCGCCGGCGGCGCACCCGGACACGTTTACGATCTACGTCAAGGATCTCGGCGACTGGACATCTGCGTTCTACGACCATGCCGTAGTGTGCCAGACAGCCAACAAGCTCCCCGTTGTGTACGTGGACGCATTCTACGGCAGTAAAGAGAGCGAAGTCGCCCCGCACTCGAACGTCGTCCTGGTTGGCGGCGGCATCGGCGTCACACCGCTCATCGGCATGCTCGAAGAAGTATACGAATCCGCGCGCCATGCCACTGTGAACCGCAACGTTTGGCTCATCTGGGCCGCGCGAGACCTGAGTTTGTTCAAAGAATTCGAGCCGCTCTTCACCAAACTCCGTCAGTTCGACCCCGCCGGCACGGTGTTTCGCGTCAAGCTGTTCTTGACGCAAGCTGCCGACGGCGCCGCACTCGAGTACACTGCGAATCACGCCCCCCTCGCGCTCGCGACGCGTGAATTCCACCCGACCGCGCCGTTGACCGCACCACGGCCGTTTGCGCGGGCCCTCAAGTCCGTGCCGCTCCAGCTCGCTGCGTTCCTCACCGCATTCCTCGTGAGCTGGATCGTGCTTATGTTTAGCCGCTGGACGTTCCGGATTCGAGGCGGCAACCCCGCGAACTGGCCCATCCAGCGCATCGTCGAAGTCGTCATCATCGTGGTCGGGGCGTACGTGTCGTATATTGTGGTCGGGTTTGAGAAGGCGACGGCGCCGACGGCCAAGGCGAACGCGGCGTCGATGTATTTGCATGCGCATCCCAACGCCGCGCCGGCGACGGCGGACTTTGTCCACGAGTTCCGCGTCGAGGACTCCCGTCCGGACTTGACCAAGCTCTTGGACGCTATCAACGCTGAGGCGCGCGACGAAGCCCCGATCGGGGTGTTTGTGTCTGGTCCCAAGTCGCTGTCCGACGCCGTCGACACGGCGGCTCGCCACGTGAATCACAAGCGGTTTGACGTGCACTACGAAGAATTTGAGCTGTAGGAACCGACGTAGTCTGGATACCAAACCACTGTTTTACTATATACGCACATGACATCGTTCAACTCGACTGTAGTTCGCGCTAAAGCGATTGCCGGACGAGGGCGCGTCATGATGAAGGCGTGGCTGTCTAGCCGTTTCCTCGCGTTGTCTACACCTTCGTGCCGAAGTCCGAAAGTTGTGGCAGTTTGTAAAGGCTTGGCGCGTCAATTTTAAGCCACGCCAACCACGACGAGATCTATGTTGATCGGTTTTACGTGTGTATTAAGTAAAACAGTGGTTTGTTTGCCCTGCATGATGTCGGCGCCTGCAGCTCATATTCTCGTATTGCATGCACATCACAATGCTTGTGGTTCACGTGACTAGCCACCGTGCCGAAGACGTTGGATGCTGACTTGGAGGCAGAATTAAACACTCCGATCCAGGCCTGGCGATGCACGAATTGCGGTCGAGTCTGCTGGTGTTATAGTTCGTTCAAAAGTTGCTAGCGTTGTGGGGAGCTTGAACGCATTCGTTCTGTGTTGCTCGGCGGATTCGACACGACCAAGGTATTCGAAAGACAGATGACCGGTGCATCTAGCGATCGATCGATCATGTCGAGCCTGCGTCGGGCTACGCCCCGTTTCATCCCCGGCGTCCTGACGCCACTTCCCACTCGATCGTGCCTCTTCAAGTTGGAAGATCGCAAATGGCCAAGTTTGATTGGTTCGATGGCAGCGAATCAGATGCTTTGTGCAATGTGATTGGTTGAGGAACGTAGTTCACCACTACGCTGCCACGTCAGAGGTGGACGAAAATTCAATGGTCGAGAGCGATCGCCGAGCCCAACCACGGCAGAGAACCTCCAGAACATCGCTTCACAGACCGCCGAGCGAGTGTATCCATGCTTGCCGAACGGGTTACTGTCCTCAATGGCGCAGACCGTTGCGTCGCAGTGCCTGTTAACTACACGGACAACGTGGCCAACTATTTGGAGATGACCAACCTCGGCTGAAACGAAGTGGCTTTAAAGCACATGCCCACGAGGGTTTCGTCGATAATGTATGGCAACCAACATCTCCAAGCTACACAAGCACCATCCGACCGGGAAGTCCATCGTCATGGGCTGCGTGATGGATGCCTCGATCTGCGTCATTGCAGCGACGCAAACACTTGCTGATCATCCTCGGATAGCGACGACCACGCAGATTGGACAATTGCTGGCGGATATGTCGCTTGGATGTGCTGCAGTACTGCCGTCAGTCGCGCCTTGGTCTCGTCTTCCAGCACTGGCTCAAACTCTTCGTCGAGATCCAATGCCAAAATGTCGGCGAACTTTTTGAGCACAAGCGCAAGATGGACGTAGTTTTCGCCGAGCAAGTCCATGTTGGACCGTTCGACCATCGTGACCAAGTCGGCGTGGACGGCGCGTGCTTCGATCGCGTCCGACTGCAGCGGCAGGCAGTTCAACCTACCATCACGTTGCACATGAGCATTGCCAGGACCCCAACCATGGGGTGCGAGGTGGTCGTTGACGAAGAGTTGGCCACACTGCCACGTCTTCACACCGTCCACAAAGACAGATTGCATACCATAGCCCCAACAACGTCGGCGCGTCGACCAAGTGTGCTCGATACAAGCAAAACTTGCCGACGGCAGAGACGCAGTTGTCACGGGCCGCCGCTTGCTCTGTCTCGACACGATCGTGCTCCTATATTCTACGAGTCAGCCACGGCCTTTCAACGCGCCACACTCGTCATGCAGAAAAATTCCGAACCGTGAAAGAAATGCATGACGAATTGTCCCGTACCAATGCTTGAATGCAAGTCCACACGCGCTGTAAGGTCGGGACGCAGTGCGGTTCAAAAGCCATGCCACCGTGCTGCGCGCAAATCCCTGCCCCGTACGCGGCGGCTCGAATTGCACATGGATTTGTATCCTCCAGGCTCTATCACAGACATGGTGGTGACGACTGCAGCATCGGCGACGCGAGAAACGACACCACGGTAGCTTACATTCCAGAGATGCGTCAAAAGCGTTGGCATGATTGGCGGGACGGCGGCACCTCCAAACTCGAGGATGTCGTCGATGATGCAAATAAAGTGGGCGCGGATGACGGCAGGGAACGACGGCTCCAAGTACGGATTCACGACGGGCGCAACGTGCTCGACGAAGAGCGGGACAATATCGTGTTTGTATTGCTTGATCGTCCACCCGATCGCATCGACCACGTTTTGCAATATCGCTTCCTACGACGAAACGCTTTACACTCGATGGTGCCGTTCAAGACGAGCGGATTCGATCACTTGTCCACTCCTGGAACACAATCGAGCAGCGACATCGAACAAAGACCACGATGCGCGACACAAAGTGCGGGCCATGTTCCGTACCTCGTCTTCAGCGTTGACTTCTTCCTCGTCATCGTCGGCCGAATCGCTTAGATTTTGCACGCGGCGCAGCACGCTGGCGTGGGACACCGCCAAGAGCTTGTCAAAGACCTACAACGAGAGTGCGTGGCCATTCCATCAACTCGCATCCACAACCGATTTCTTGCAACACGAGCAAAAATGTCCATCACAAGAATCGTTGTGGATGAAAGCCCTACCGTCGGCAAATGCGCCAGAGGAATCCCCATGCGGTATCCGTTGTCGGCGGCGGCCCTCGTCGCTTCCAACACACTCGCCACAGCTTCTGACAGCCCCACGATGCATTCCAAGTCGCCTTCCTCAATCAAAGCCTGCCACCATTCCCGTCCGCCACTCAGTCACATGTGTCACCCTCGTTCGACCCAAGCTTTGCACACCGTACCGTCAAGAGGGGTTCGAAAATGAGCTCGAGCACTTGATGCGGTGCCGTCGACGTCACGACCGACCCTGCAATCGCTGCTTCCAATAGCTTGGCTAGCGTCAGCCCGCTGAGCATGCGCACCGTGTCCAAGTACTGAAACTTGAGCAGAGGGAGCACGACGTTGAGAGCCTACGACGCACACACACACATGACTCCATACGCTACCCATCACGTCATCGTAGCACGTTGTCCACGAAACCAACCCGATGCACGTCGATCCCGTCATGGAATTCACTTACCGGTTCAACATACGCAACAAATGCGCCTTTGAGGTCGAGCGCAAGTTGGTACAGCATGTTCAACCCAAGTTCCTTTCCCTGCAAGGCCGACGTTTGAATTTGGAGCTTCTTCTTGCCCTGGCCTTGCACATCCACTACGATTTCGTGAATCCCATCGTGTTCATCGTCGTCATCGTCGTCGTCGGTGGCCGCCGTCTCGTCATTCCAGTCGACCAGGACAACGTCGGGCTTGGTCGCGGCCTGCTGCAACAACTTGGGGACTATCAACGGCAAGTACGCGACAAAGTCCTCCTGCAGCACGCTCGCAATGCGAACGCACGCCTGTGTGAGGTACTGCAGCTCGACGCCGCTGTCGTCCGTTTCGTGGCGCAGGAGAATGTCCATCACTGCTTTGGCATCGTTCAAGAACGCTTCTTTTCCCACCGCTTGCCCGATCAGTGCGACACATTCCATCGCTTTGCCACGCAACAGCGCGTACTGTTTGCCTAGAATCAAGCAACACCCAATTGAGACGACATGTGCTCGACAACGCGTTTTTGCCATCGAGGCGGCGAGCATCTTCCGCCACTGCTAAGCACTCATCGTCGTACCTTGAGATTGCGTCAAAAGATGCGCCGCCACGGGCATGAACACGCTGTAGTGCAGCACAAAAGCGTCCCCGACCACCTTGGCCACACATGCCACGGCCGTGATGGCTTGTTCTTGGACCTACGCTTGACGAGTGAGGACTACACCTTGTGAACGCAGGGACAGCGATTGCCATGGCTGCACATCCACAAGGGCCGTAGGTGACCAGAATCGAAGCGTCGATACCTGCCGTGGACTCGTTTGTAAGGCTTGAAACAAGGCCGATAGAATTGGGTCCAGCATCGCCAGTATATATTGGGTGCGGCAGTGTTCGGGATGGCAAAAGTTACTCATCACCGACGCAGCCGACCCACGGTTGCGCATCACGGCCTACACGCGTCCGCCGTTAACTTTGTTGGAAAGCGCGTTTGGTGGATGTAGCCCCATCGCGCGAATGATCCATCCACGACGAGTGGCTTCTTTGATGGGACTCCATCGCCACGTACGTCCGACAGCAACGGCAGCAGCGCAGGCAGGACTTGGCCATGGTACTTGGTTTGAAAGTTCTTGCCCCGAGCAACGACGCCGAAATCTCGGGCGAACTGGCCGACGCAAAACAACGCGGCATGGCTACCTCCACGCGATGCGTCATGCGGTCCAACGCGTGCCACAACTCGAGGTATGTAAAAATGAAAAACACATCCACGCGACAACACCGATTCCTTGTACGTCATACCGAATCCGAGGGTGCGGGTGCTGCAGGAAATCAAGGATGCGGGGCAACCACACGTCCAACACTTGAAACAAATAGTCCTTTGATCCTTCTGCCATGAGCCCCAGGGCAAACAGCGCCGCGTGCTGGCGCTGCCATGACGTCGACTCTTCTAGGTACTGCGCAATGTACGGCATGATTAACGGGACGAGCACCTTGCCGCCCACGGAGTGTGCGACCCGATCGATGGCGCCGGCCCCCGCATCACAGACTCGTACACCCGTGCCTTCGTCTTTCTAATGCCAACAAACTATACGTGAGAACGATCCAACCGGGTGTCCACAGCGACCAGTTGGCTCTCGAGGCTTTACACAACAATGTATATCTCGAAACAGGTCGGACATCGAGAGAAGCAGCACACACATGATCCTGACCACTTGGGGCATATTCGACCACGCATCACACAAGCCAGAAATGCAAAGGCCACGGTTGTGCGCAAGCGGAGTCGGGAGAGTCATGCCAAAACGAGAAAAAGGGTTCTTACGTGGTCGTCAAACTGGTCCACCCAGGCCGGAACATCGTCAAGTTCTGCGAGGAGCGCCAACAGACAAGGAACGACTGCTTCTAGCAACGCTTTCGACGATCGAAAGAGTTGCGTCTATGGAGTACAGTCGGCGTGAAGAGCGAGTCGTTCCAGTTTACGAGCCGCGACCACAAGTGTTCACAGGTCCGAGGTTGTCAGGACGTACGGCGTGTTCAAAAAGTGCGAGGAGGCATTCCAACGCGAGCGTGCGTGTATCGGTCGACAGCGATCGCGCCTGGGCCGTCGACAGCATAGCGCTACGATGAACGGGTGCAATGAAAAACCAACGCACACGAGGTTGATCGAGTGTGAGGTTCGTGCCATACTTTCCGATTAGATCCAAGTGGAGCATGAGCAGCGATGGATGGACTTCGGTCATGGCTAAGAACGACGTAAGGAGTTCTCGCGCTGCCACTTCGTCGTGGTTTTGCAGCGACCCTTCGAGTAACTACAACATCCAACAAAATCGTGAAGTGGAGAAGAACGACGACGAGGCTGGAATCGAAAGAAGGAGATTTTGCTACGGAAGCGAGGATGTACCTGCAAGAAAGGCGGTAGGAGGTGCGAAAATGGCTGCAGCGAATCGCTTGATTCAAGATGCACGACAAAAGCCGACAGCGCCTTCCATGCCGCGACGCGAGCCTCCGTGCACGCTGTCGGCGCTACATCCTGCTGTGAGAGAGGAGACGATAAATGTTTTTCGCAAGTACATGCGACAAACGAGGCGAACACGTTGCCGAGCTGTTCGTGGTGTAGCTTGAGCTTGGCGCCCGTGTATTCCGCGAGTGTGGCAAGGACATCCAGTGCAGTGACTTGCATGCCCTAGGATAAGGTTGACGAAGATATTCGTGGGAGCGACAAACAGTACCGGGTCGGGATGTTGGGTGAGTTGGACGATCGATGGCAATAATTCCGGCCACGACGCATCTTGGCGCGCAACTTGAGCGACGACGTGGGACACTTTGCGGCGAATGGGAGGCTGTGTTTCCTGGACGAGAGTCGCCAACAGTTGCGTTTTCATCTGAGCGCGGTATGTAGCGTCGTTGGGAAGGCCCTCCGTCTCGACGAGGCGACGAAGAAGCACCGGAGCAAACATGCGCGTCTCGACATCGGTCGAGTTCGTTTGGAAGCACGTCAACGTGAGCAACGTGGTGGCGAGCTCCATGGGCTGATGCGCCTTGATCTGGGTGTACGTGGACTCGGCTTGACGGCGAACCGTGTTGTCGTTGCTCAAGAGCGCGCGGATCACATCCGTGTGCACCATCGTCTCGTTCGCGCCAAACAACTGGATTTGGCTGGTAATCAAAACGCCCAAGATTCCGTTATATATTGTTATAATTCTGGAGAAGGCCTTATCTAGAATTATAACGACTCAAACACGACAAACACAACAAAACGAACTTTACCGTCAAGTGTACAGATTGTAGAGCCATATCTCCACAGCGAACGATATCGTCATTTCAAGACGCCTTGGCACTCCCCGGCACCCCGACGATGCATTGTGGTGGCGCAAGCAAGTGATGCAAAGTGTTGCTGGTTGCAGCAGAGATGTGTTAAGCACTTGAGCACTCGCACGACAGTTGGTCCATTGGGAGACCAAACTACGACAGCTTGAGGTGCGGATGGTACCATAGCCACAGCTACATGCCGTGCACGTTCGTGGGTTGCCTTGGCCTGCCGTCGTCGCGGAGGAAGTCTCGGAGCGGCCGCACGTGCAGTTGTTACAAGTGCAGGGGTCGCAAGGACCCGCTGACGTCGTAGAGCGCTGGCTTGGACCGCAAAGGCAGTCTGGGCCGTTGGACGGACCAGTTTGACGACTCGAGGCCAAGTTGGTGCAGTCGCAATTCAGGGTAGAGCGTGAGTCGCCATGGCACGGCATGGTTGGCGAGAAATCCACAGTGAAGTGTTCAAATTACTGAACAGGCCTCATGTCTGGGCTAGCTCGATTGCGCCGTTGGCGAACTAACTCGGTCCTCTCTCAAGATGGTGTGGCGAAAGGGTTGTTGTCTTCGCCAGCGGGCAATCTCATTTTTGAATCGGATTATGCACGTGCGAACAGTACCTGGAGAGTTTACCGTGCATTCGATCGAACGTGGGCGGTCGGCGTGCACAAGTTCGCAATGACTTGTTCGACGATGCTGAATGCGTGGCACATCGAAGTGGCTTGAGAGCTACACATGCCAGAACATCCTAGGTACATTGGCGATGCCGTGGAGTTGTGTGACTCCTCGGCTGGTTGGTCATATCCGCGGAATGTTTCTCGTGTCGAAAGTGATCCGTGCACTCGCCGTCCTGGGCTATCATGATACCGTCCCAAGGATCTAGAGCAGACTGATTTGCAACGGAACGGTTGCATCGCGACATCCGAACGTTGGCCAGCACAGGATGGGAGGGGCCACGCGGCATTGGACTGCACGACTTTGGCCTGCAGCAACATCAATGTCTCCGTTCCGGGGGTCGAAGTCCCTATGCCACCTACCTATGGTTCTAGCTGTTTTATGTCTGCCACCAAATGATCGACGAGGGCTTTCTTGGAATGACAACACATGCCCTCTACCCAGTTTGAGGTGTGTGCATATCGGAAGGGTAGCAAATGCTTCGCTACAAAGTGGGCGTACACAACGCAGAACCGAATGAATTGATTCATGCAAACGCGCAAGCATCATGTCAACTACACTCCATGAGTGCCGCACTTGGTGTAGGTGCATGCATTACCGTGACACCCAGTCACAGCAGCAGGGACTGCTCCCTAACTACGCTGACTGTCGTTGCAGGTGCAGTTCGTGCAGGTGCAGTCGGTACAGGTGCAGGTGGTGCAGGTGCAGTTGGTGCAGGTGCAGTTGGTGCAAGTGCTTGGGCTATCCTGGCACCCCGTCACGTCGGTGGGGGCTGCAGGTTGGCCACACTTGCAGTCGGTGCAGGTGCAGT